TATGTATATAGATATGTATATCTTGCATATGTAATTCTATAGTACAAATTTAGATAAGTATAACTGTAAATTTCCAATTCCGAGCGGGAGTTTTTGAGAACTATCAAAATTAGCTTTCTCAGTTTCTTCTCAGTTTTTTTCTCCGACTAGAGGCTGCTCAACTTGGAGACCTGATGCGGGTATCGATACGATGCTCCAACAAGATCCCGGAAGTTTTGATGTGTGGGAGTTAGAAGTCCGTAGAAATTATTTCGACGGAGATCCAATTACTTTCGATCTATGGGCATTTGGAAATCTTTAAAGTTTGAGCTCAAACCTTCCATGGATCAAATTTAGCGCGAAATATAGAAGCCGCCTTTGTAGAGCTTGCTTTGCTCTATCGAACGGTACCCGTTAGGCATCTTAAAAGATTTGCTTTGCTTAAGCGAGCAATTGAAGAACAATATCATTTTTTTAACAACCTGATAGGTCAACGTCCTGGAAAAGCGCTATTTTGATTGTAGGGAATGAAGTAAATAACAAATGCAATGAGCACTTGCGTAACGCACAGAAATCAGTATATGAGCTCCCCAAGGCTCGGCACAGGTGGTACACCGGCTCAGACAATCGCCGGGGGCAGACGGGCACTGGAAAATAGATGGCTAATTTCTCGCACTCCCCCCGCTCGCGGATTTTTGGAAAGCAATCAGGACTTATCGGGACGCCGCTTGCTGAGTTCTCGATTCCTCAGAGATTCAATAATATATTTGCAAAAGATGAGAGCGAAAAAAGATTCAACAGGCGGTCTTTCAAAAACTCGCTGAACATTTTCCTGGAATTTGCGAACGGAATGCAAAATTTCAGCAACGCGTATTTTCCGGCGCCCGCCTGCCCCCGGCGTTTGTCTAAGGGGGGCGCTCTTCTCTCCTTTTCTCTTCGGCACATCTAGAGCATCTAACAATGGAAGTCTTTTGATCGAAGTGGGCTTTTCATATAAACTGATACAACTCGCAGACAATGAAATCGGATTTGGGATCAGCGTTAAATGCTCTTCGAAGTGTTGTAAGTACGGTCAAGAGGCACACAACTGCCGGATACGACCCCCCCCCCCCAAGTTCTGTCTCGGTACCACCCTCCCCCCCCCCCAGCATTTTCGTTTCCCTACCGTGGGCATGACATAAAGGCTCTAGCGCATAACTGGCAACCAGGGTTGAGCGTGGGGGTCAGGCGCGCCCGATCTGGGGGATCGTATTGAGGGTAAGACTGAGGGGGGGGGGGGTCGTAATTAAGGATCGAATTTGTTAAGTTGAGGAGATACTGCGAAGGTGAAGAAGAAATGCGCTAGTTCGTTGGATATCGCGATCATATGAAGGAATAACGGTCGTAAACAGCATACTGATTGTTTCCACAGTGGAAGTTTCAGCCAAAATTCAAATCTTCATCTCTTTTACCTTGACATATGGGGTCGACAAAGAAGCTTGCTGTGTGAAGTGGATATCATTTCCATAATCAGCATGTCAAATTACCTGTATGCGCCCTATAAACCATTACCTATGCAATTTCTAGTGTCTCGCAACGTCTAAAAAGCGTGATTTTTAAACGTGATCAACTTCGTTTCAGAAGTGAGAAAAGTCAGCTTTTGTATACTCATAACAAAGTAATGTTCTTTACAAGTCTATGCTACAAATCGGGCTTCATATCGCTTTCAAACAGTGAAGTAAGAAGTGCTGCCAAAATTCCAACCGGCGCGTTTTTCATGTTGAGTGCTTTAACTCCTCGGATTAGCACAAGGCCGAAACAAGTCGAATCAAGCTCAAACACTTACTGTGGAATCTTCGAGGATTGAGCTAGTGAATCACATAAAACTTGGGTAGAAAAGCTATTTCGGAAATAAAGTTAATGGGGTCAGGCGCAACCCCTCAAAAGGTCAGGCCGCCTGAGCTTTTGAGGGGTTGCGCCTGACCCTCTTAACTTGCCTTCAGCATTCAAAAATCGCCTCTTTTTTGATATGAGTATTCAGCACAAAGCCTCTTCTTGCTATATTGAAAATTTGAAGCCAAGCACCAAACCCCTGTGAAAAATAAAGCTCTGAAAAGAGGACTATCAGATCTAAACTTGCCGTCAAGTTGCGTGTGGTTGTGCAATCGCAGAAAGTCGGGCCTACAGACTTTCAAAAAATAGAAACCTGCAGTGAAGGCTGGTCTTCTTCAAAGTGTAATACCCTGGGGACTTGGAGGTAAAGCGGAGGGTCGTTTAGGGGCTTTCACAGGGGGGGGGGGGAGTCGTTTTTGAAGGACTTGTGCCTGACCTCTTGCTCAACCCTGCTGGCGACATATTCATAACTATAATGTCAAATAACCCCTGTGGGTCAAGTATCCGCGAATTCGGCGCGTTTCCAACATTGAGCCACTTAAATGAAGTGGCCATTTTCAAACATGGTTAACCATAGTTTAAAAGTGAATTAGCTACCTCCTTTTGTAGTCAGTGCAAAGTACTACGCTAAAATTGCCTATACCATGAATCTTGCTACAAATAACCGTCAAACTATGGAATCAGGAGCCAGCTAAAATTTCGCTTGTCCCATTTTTCGCATACCGTGGTTGTGCTTCCAGCAACTATTGCTCAAACGAAAGAAAACAAATTCAGCTCTAGTTTACACAAAAACTACGAGGTTTTAACTGTCGCACCGTATATAATCTGTTCTCTGATATTCCCTTAGGTAAATTAATGGGGTATGGCACAACACTTGAAAGCTGTAGCAGCCACAGCTTTTTAGGGATTTTGCCACACCCCGTTAACTTACCTTCAAACCAATCGAGCACCTGCGTTTTCTATATCGTTGCTATTGCCTGACGTTCTTTCCAACAGGAATTTCATTTGAAATCGTATCTCCTAGGAAAATTCATAAACGCTTTTCCTTACCTATACAAAGGGAAAATGCTGCGATTATATTGGGTTACGGTAATAAGCTAAGTCTGCACTACTGTGTGAATCGGAGGGAAGGCGATAAGAATGTACATATTCGATAGTTCAAGCCTTTTATTTTGCACTAAAGTGATTCAAGCCTGATTGGTCTTCTCTAGTCTGAGATGTTGAATGGGACAAACGAGATCTTGACTTGCTCTTAATTCTATAGTTTGGAGGTTATTTGAAGTGGGATCCCTAATATGAGCAAAGAAATAGTAGTTCTTTGTAATAAGTGCTAAAAAAAGAATTAACTTACCTTTGAAACAAAGTTAGCGCGTTCGAAAATGACCATCTCACTTGGGTGCCGCGGTATGCGGAAAACTCAAAATTCGCTGAAACTGGTTCAGAGGGGTTATTTCACATGCTAGTTACAAAAACGATGCGTTTTTGCTTTTATAGACCTTTTATCATCCTTACTGCACGTGTACGATGGTGGGCTAAAATATCAATGTGCTAGTGTTTTGCATTATGGGCCTATCTGATAATGTTAACGAATATCATGTTACCGCTACATCAGACTCATCTTGACAACGACCCCTCTTTTCCTCCCTGACCCCTCCTACGACCCCTCCCCCCCCCCCCACTCAGACGATCGTCGGGGGCAGGCGGTCCGCAAACTCGCTCTTTCTGGCAGGCGCCCAGCAAAATCTTGGACGTGGCCAAACCTTCAACGAACGGTACTTCCTTTACTGTCGCATGTCCTGCCAGCGGGCAGCAATACAGAGTTTTCTGCAAGGGCTCGTCGAATGATTCATTTCAACGAGGCTGGCCAAAGCTTCAGCGAGCGCTCGGACTCTTTTTATGCAGTTTCGTGAGTACGCCAAGCTAAGGTAAGTCTCTACCTGGCAGAGGTGCCATCGATGGTTTGATTACCCGAGTTTGGGGTACTTTCTCTTAGCGGAAAGTACCTACGGGCTGTGCGGTCCTTCACAAATGACCGTGCGGCCCTCAATAATTCTGCACATTCGCGAAAGGTCCGTGAGAATGGGGCCACTGCGCCGCAACTAATCTATAAAAAAAGCCGCGATCGTTCCCGAGCATTCGTCTAAAACTTCGCCAAAATTCTTTCAAATATCTGCAAGCGGACCGCAAGAAATCAGCGAACTATTTTTCCGGTGCCGCCCGCCTACAAATAGCATAACCGCCTGCCCCGTCGATTATCTGAGCAGGTATGGCATGCCGTACCCCACGCTTGACCCTGGTTATAGGACTCATTTGGAAAGTTCACTCTGACTAATCGTACCTCCCTTGTATGCAAAGGTCTAAAGATCTCGCAAAAACCGACCACCTACCGTACGCCAACGTGGCACTATTATGTATCAGAAGAAGCGGCTTGCCGAGCTGAGTTGAATGGTGCTTTTGAACTCAGAATTCGTCCACTCTGAATCGAAAATGGCGATGCACGCGATTTTCGCGAAAAGCGACTGAAACGCGATTTTCAGAAGGGCGACGGCGGTCGCCCAATTTTTGCGCCGCGGCCTGACTTCGGCGGCCGCCTTTTCTCTTTTTCACATACGAGCGCTTCTGTACCTGCGATTTTTCAGTCCTTTTTACAAATTTGCAATCCGAGTTACCCTTTGTTTCAGTGTGGGTGGCGGGTGAAAGGTGGGGCTTTGACTGCTAACCAAGCCAAAGCAATGAAGAGAGCACCCACGCGAGAGAGATGCAGGCTTGATTAGCGTGCGGAGCCCCTTCCACTCGCCGCTTCCAGTTGAACAAATGGTATGTACAAAGCATTCGAAAGATCATAATGGCATGGCCGCGCGTTGCACACTTCCGACAGTCGCGTTTTCTTGGTTTTCATCTCTACTCGAAGGATTTTTCTGCTTGACATGATAGCGTGTATAGACACTAAACGCGGCTGAAGTGAGCGTTGAGGTAATGTCTTTTAGTAAGAGTGTTTTATGCTCCTGTGGGCGCAAAGACCGCAGCCAAATCCTTCGTCACATTTACGAATGACCTATAGTTTCTTGGTGCTCCAATCGCCGAACTTTTTTCAGGCGCGATCAGTCCATAGGACGCGTAGCACACCAAACGGAAGTACTCTGAACAGATTCCATTACGAAATTTATGCCGTTAAAAAGAACTTGCTGAACTAGCATTTGAGAAATTTCATTCAATTGAGCAAGTAGTTTTGAACATGAATATAAAGAGCATGAGGAGAAAAGCAAAGTGGAAACACCCACAAAATATACATGCATTCGGAGATGGTAAAAAAAAACAGCTAGTCAAAAAGTGAGGTGCGTCCTACTGTAGTTGAATTATAGACCGCGTAATGTAGGAAATTTTCTCGGAAAACAAAAGCAACCATGGTATTTAACGGGATAAGTGCAATATGTAAGTATTAGTTTACTGTGTTTATGCAAACAGAAGCAAGTAGGGCAAAAGCAGAAGAGACAGGACACCACTGCTTCCCGTTTGATCATCTGTCCAATCGGCTATGAAGAGATTCAAGTCATACTTGCTCGTTCCGTTGCGGCTCGATCCCCAGATCAGCTTTGTGCCAGCATGGTTCATCATGGGAAAAGAATTAAATTGATATTGGTCTCCGTAGGTGATCTAAACAATGCTTTAAATTTTGGAAGGACTAAACTGGAGACTGTATTAATACTCCCAAACTAAGGATAGGGTTACGGAAGACGAGGACTCAAAACTTTGAATCATACCCTTTCTAGTCCTGTCCCATCGTCATTGATCACATACAGTGCAAATGCTCCGAAGCCATTTTCACTATCGCCGTAATTCGAACTGAAATAAGCATAAAGTAACACTATAATTCTTGCTCATGAGAAAGAGCACATATTAGAAATAGGGTCTAAAGATCTTCAACTATGTTGCACTATATCGTAATACATAAATGCCGACTTACAACAAAAAATATTGCAAGGAAAAAGGAATAATTTATGGGATACCTCAAATTCTTTTATGGGACAGCTTAGATTTTCACTGCAAAAATCTAGAAGAAGACTGCTTATTTTCTCATAGGAAGAGCAAATGAACAAGAAGAGTTTTTAAACAGCTTGGCTCAAAGAAAAACTCAGTGTCTCTGGAAGAAGTGCAGCTTCAGTTCACTATGGTTGCAGCAAGAATGAAAACGGATAAAAGCAAAATCAAAAACAAAATATTCTTATGCGCTTAATTTCTTCAGATTTACATAAATCACACAAGCATATTGAAGTTATGAAACTCAAAAAACTATCTGGTGGATTTTTTTCAAGGCGATATTTAAGATTTTTCTATTCTTTAAATGATCTACAATAGATCTGAAGGTTAATGCAGTAGGCCTACGGTCCCGACAATATTTGCGCGTAAGAGCTGACTACAGAGCGCACAAGTTTGAATTTCTAGCTTCTGCGGGAATCTCATGCAGCTGTATTCACCCTCCAATATGGTGAATGGAAGATTTTTTAATGGAAACAACTTTGCATAGTTGCCCTCCGACCATGAATCATAACTTTTGATTCGAATTTCTCACTTTACATTTTTTGAAGCGGAACCAAGATAGCATTGTGTCGCTCAAGTCTGACAATCTTCAGTTTATAAGACTCTTCCAAATTTCATTTTGGCTGACCTGAACACTATCCGCTTATTGTCGTTCAAATAGTAGGGTGCCCAGCTTGCACCTCCAAGGCTAGTTATCTGTCTCAAATTCGAACCATCCACATCCACAACAAAAAGCTCCATCGCTACGGGCTCGACCAGGTCATATTCGAGCAATTTCTGGAAATATAAAAGTTATAGAAGATTTCAGTAATTAGAAATCTTCTCACCTTATATTTGGCAATATCTTCTGGTGTTTTTGGACGACTTGCGCGGAACACTAATCGCTTACCATCAGGAGAAAAGAATGCTCCACCGTCATAACCGAGTTCATAGGTAATCTGGAAGACAACTTATGAGAAGCCTATCTACTCCTAAATTTTTTTATTTTGTCTTGAAAAACTATGAAAAATTGTCCCCTTCTGTGCTGAGCGGTACCGACTTCGGGATAGTTTTTCAATTTGTCTAATCAAGATTAGCTAAATTACCAATCACCTGATTGAGATTGGTACCATCAGAATTCATGGACCAAAGTTCTAGATCTCCAGATCGAATCGAAGTGAAAACTATGGTTTTGCCATCTGGGCTAAGAACGGCTTCAGCATCGTATCCAGGATGATCGGTCAGCTGCTGGACGATGTTTCCATATTTGTTCACCTGGCATTTGGGACTTTTTTGTATCATCGGCATTCAATAGCGCCGTTTCTCATAAATTATTGAGTAAATGATAAGGAGCTCCTACCTTGAAGATGTCATACTCAGGTACAATATCCCAGGTATAAGAAGTATTGCACAGCTTCTTTAGTATTGGATCTGTGATCGAAGGATTTTGACATTTCTTCTGAGGGCAGGTTTTGGCTGCGTCATTGAATGATGAGACGTTCAGCTGAGGATATCACTTGTCTCATAGTTGTTTGAGCCAAAGATCAAAACTGCTAACCGCCCAGAAATTTCCAGCATAAAGTCGATGATCATTGTTATCCTCTTTGAAGAAAAACGAGCAGGTCGTACCACCAAGACCTGTGCTTGTTCTTCGCAAGAGCTGCTTGCGAGGATCAATGTTGAGATCAAGTTCATAGATCTGGAACATTTTGATTGATATTGTGGCTGATTGGTTTGTCTATAGCACCTGGTCGCAATCAGTTCCATATCCGGTAGCTTGAAGAGTGACTTTGGAATCGTCATAACTAAAGCAAAAATTTGAACAAAATAGTTGAATTTCGATTTTTTTGGAAATTGCATGGCTCTCAGCAACGCTGTCAAACAATGATAACTGAGCTAGTGCTTGAGGAATAATCTTTTGTTTGGAAAATGCTTACCACATATGTCCCTCATTGGACCTGCGGCAAAAATATTGATAGATAAATCCCTACTAAATGTGAAGAATATTTACGTTAGTACTACCCGTCTGATTTCTAATAACAGAACTGACAACAGACCAAACCGCACAGCACCTATACGATAGACATGTGGTAGCAGCTAATTTGTCCCTTTCTCATATTTTCTCCATTCAAAAAGTTGATTAGTTGAATGTTGTTGAAATGTTCTATGGCTAACTTCCTACCGTATACTCACCGTACCACATGTACTAACTAAAATACAACAGTTCAAACAGTTGAGCATATTACCATTGAATCTGTGTAGATATATGCAACCCAGCTTAATAATAATTTTATTTTTGCCGCGCCCCCTCTTGCTACTCCGCCCACTCTGTTGCCCTCTACAAGAGCTACACATTTTTTTTGCACTCTTAGTGCGGCTGTTATGATTGATAATCCGCAATGAAAAAATTAATAGCAAGCTAAGAATGGCTTCCAAAGCGAATATGATTTCAATAAATACCCCTTTTTTCGCCGAAGGCGACGTATTATGCGTTTTCATATGAAATTTTTATTGAACATACCTGAAATATCCCTCGGCATTCTGTCCACCAAATGTGAGTTGTTTCACATTTTTGAAGTGCCGTTCACCCTTGAAGTGAACTACTCCATCGTACGGCGTTGTATTGGTGTTCTGCCATGGCTCCGTCACAGCATTCTCCAATGGTTCTTCAGCCTGAATACAAGGGTGTCAGGATCAAAACGTGCCTATGACCTTAAGACACCCACCTTGACTGAGCGCCATACTCTGTTTGTTCTCAACGCTTCTTCTTTCGCAAGATCTCCCGGCTTGTCTACCTAAAATTCTCAACTTCACGGATGGAAAATGAATGAGGACAAAAATAATGCTGGAAAGTGAATGAGGACAAAAATAATGTTTTAGCATACTCAAAGCACATTGGATTCACAAACATTTTAGATACACGAAGATGAAAAAGTAAAAAAAAAAGAATGAGTTCTCTGCGGTAGTGTACGTTCAATCAATAAAGCGACTCAAGATTCTGAGGGCAATAGTATCTCATCTCATATCTCATGGACCTCGTTTGATCAAAAGATTTTCGCCAAGTTTTCTCATTCACTCAAACTTTATTCAATCTATTTCACCCATACTTTCGACCACGAAATACTTGATTTCGAAAATTCGCAAAACTTCGAAGCCCTCGGCTAAAAGAGGTCTCTCGAGCTGCAAATTCGATCGCGCTGAGATGGCAGGAAAAGAGGGTAGCGTAGGTGTTAGGCCTGCCCACGAGGTTATTTTTACCGTTATTTTGAACTAGCTCACTGAGTAATTAAACATTTGCTTTACTTCAAAAAAGGAAAACTGAGTCCAGTTACCCAATCAGCGATGAAGATATTGATATCGCCCGGAGTTTTTGCGTTGCGCGACGAGCCCCAGACAAATTTGTCGCCTTTATGTGAAAACATCGGAAACGAGTCAAAGTGACCCTCATCCATAGTCACCTAAACCCTTGAGAAATTACTATCAGTTCTTACTAGGCTCAAAACTATACCTTCTCCAGACCAGTCCCATCCTCATTTACAATGTAAAGATCAAACGAATTGTAATCAGTTCCCGTAGAGTTAAAGTTTGAGCTGAAAAAGCATCTCTTTATATACTTCATTTCTTCAAAAATTCAATGGCTTTGTATACCTGAAGATGATTCTTTTGTTGTCTGGATGATAATAAGGAGCCCAGTTAGCTCCGCCTAATTTCTTTGGAAAAACTGGTCGAAGTCCAGTGCCATCCACATTTACCACATAGAGCTCCATTGCTGTTGGAGCAACAAGATTGTACCTGAAAATTCACGAAATTCAATCTTTTTTTTTCGCTTTTCAATTCTACCACAGTATTAGCTCACTTAAGCAATGCCTTGTATTTGCTTATTTCTTCAGATGTGCTGGGTCGACTTGCGCGGAAGACGACCTTCTTACTGTCAGGTGAGAAAAATCCGCCACCATCATAGCCCAGAACGTTCGTGATCTTTAAACAAGACAGAATTAGGAATGACGAAAATTTTCTGCGACAGATCATCAAATTTTGACCATAAATGTTCGGGCAATGCATAAGTAAAAGCGTGTCTTCACTTTCATCTGAGTCTGTTAGCTTTTTCGAATAGAATGGGTCCATCACTTAGCTAACACATAAATTCAAATTTTTGACAAAACAAATAAATCCTTATTGTTAGATGTGGATCATGCACTTCCAATAAAACATCCTGATTCTTGGCAAGCCCAAAACCAGTTGCAATTCACTAACCTACACATTACAAATCAAAATATATCAAGAAAGCTAGAGACGTCTTAGGCCACATTGATATTGAAGGCAGTTTTTCTGAAAAATCATATTGGAAAGGGTTTGACATATAAGCTAATTACAAATTTCTATACTTGGACAATTGTTCAGGTTGCTCTCCATTTTCTCAATTGCTCTCAACAAAGTTGTCATTGCTGACAATGAAATGTTATGAAAACTGCTGCTCAAAAATATTCCTATGTTCACCTGCTTTTTATTTGATCCGTCGATATTCATGACATAGAGATCCAAATCTCCATTCTCCATACTCGTATATAGAATTTTCGATCCATCCGGACTAATCACACCTTCCGCATCGTAGACACTGTTATTTGTCAGCTGCGCTATGATGTTTCCATACTGATTCACCTAAAAGAGATACAACAAAGCAATCTGGTAAATAACTATAAAATATCTGGAGTGGTAGTAATATGGCCGAAACCAACGAATGATGTGATGGTTTAATCATGGTCGTGGTAAGCAAATCATCGTGGTAAGCATGATCATCTTCTTACGGCCGTTCAGTTCAATCGGTCATACAAAATTATGAAACATGCAAGTTACTTTCGGAAAACCATACTTGTTTCATGCTTGTTTCATTCTAAACCAAACTACGAAATCAGTAGGTTAACACCATTGTTTCCTTATCAGGTAGAGTAATGAAAACAGCATTTCATTTAATGAGACGCAGACGTGAAACCACCATATCATAGTTTAAAATGAAAAAGTACCCCCGACCACTTTTTCGTATAAAATAATGATGTATTGGTTTTGCAAGTTAAGAAGAGTGAGCGAGATCATTCTGCATTACTATGAGAAAGCTTACTTGTTTAATCTTAGATAAGGTTATAGGAAGGTGCAAGGCTGGAGATCGAACTGCAAATTTGGTAAAGTGCATGATTGCCGACAAGCATGAGAATGGTTGGAGTTTCGATCTCCTCCAATGACTTTGCTTTGCAAGATAGCATTTCGAGGTTTCCTATTGGTTAATTCGTGGTTTCGTTGGGAAAATGATGTGAAGCCGCTGGTTAGCTGGTGTTATGAAAACACAGTTAACATGATGGTTTCGACCATATTACTACTACTCCTGTGGCCGTATTCATCAATGAACCCTCAAGGTTAAAATCTACCTCAGCTAGCATTTTGGCTTATAACCCGTAATCACAACATGATCGCAATGAAATTCTCTCATGGGTTAGGTCTACCTTGAGGTAGAAATGAACCTTTAAACGCATAAATCCGTATTCATCATTCTACCTTGTGGTTGAAATTTACCTCAATCATCATTTCTCCATCAACTTTCCATTATGCGTCTAAGGTAGAATTCAACCCTAGGATAGTTAGGGTTAAAATCTACCTTGATTGCACATAAGAGTTGGAATTTTTCTAAGGACCTCCATCAATCTAATTTCTGAGGACCTTATTCTAACACTACCGTTTTCAAGGACGAATTTATTTTATCAATACTAGCTCAAATTTCACTTGTTTACTTACGAGGAAACCTTTTTTGTCGAAGTTACCTTTGTTAGATGGGATGTATAAGCTTTGAAAAGTAAAAAACATTCCAAATCTAACCTTTTGTTTGTGGAACGTTCCTTGACGAGGAGTTGTGAGCGTTTATTGCAGCAAGAATTTACATATATATTTAGGATGGAGTTGCTAAATCTCACTAGTCCTCAAATAAAGCAATAATGGTAAGATTTATTAGGCTGGACACTAAGTTTTGCACCTAGTTTCATAAACTCAACCTCTTTAAAAGAGTAATATATGACACAACTGCGCGCAGATTGCTCAAATTTTGACATGAAATAGGAAAGTTTCAGGCCTTTTCGAAAACTAGTGAATTTTGAGAATTTCTGGAGTTTCAAGCTAAAATGAAGCCGTTACCAGCCTAGACCATGCGCAGTGATCCGGAGTCACGAATTATGGTTAGAAGTTGACTCATTGGCTCAGTAAGAAATAAACAAAATTTAGGGGCGTCGAGATTTGGCGCCCTCACAAAGTCGACCAAGTCGCAGTACGCAAGGGCTGCCGGGGAGACCGTCAATGACTAAAGAGTCAGAAGCCCAATTTTCGCCGAGGCTTGACATAGTAAGGCTACTTCACCTAACAGATACGAATATTATATTCATTGGTTATATAACGCCTCTTTCCTTGTTCAGGGTGGCCTATATTTACAGTAACCTTACAAAAAAGCCTTTATCACGCAAAGTCATTATCATTTTTGTGATCAGCATGTCGGATAACACCTATATCAAGTTTTAGCTAAATCTGTCATATTTTATATTTTTTCATTTTATACCAGATACCTAGCTCAACCCTCATTGAAGCTAGAATATGGCTGAACAGCAGCTGCGCTTGTAGCTTACGTCACAGCCTACACAAGCGCAAAATTTAAGTGCTCATGTTGAGAGAGAAGGAAGCATTAAATGAGTTGCAATACTTAATTTCCAACTATTTGATTATTTGAGTATCTATTAAATAAAGTACTTTAATGATTATCATAGCTCCATTGAAGCGCTAGAAAATATATTGCGACCATCTTTGTCCTACTTGCACATCCAATTTCCGCTCCAAAGAACGCTCATGCTTTGTCCATAAATTCTGCAGCTAAAGAAAGCAGTGGCATCAGCGTTCTAAGCCCTTTAACATGGTATCAGAGCCCAGCGCGACGGTGGCAAATAGACACCCGCGAAACGACATCGCCTTTGCCACTATCGATTTTTATGATTTCCCACTTGATCTCGCCAGTTGCGTAGGTTGCACGATTGCGCGATTCTCTCCTTAAAAGGACCGGCTGTTCCGGATCCTAACAAAGAGGCGAGGAGGAGTTTTGGGACCAAAGTTTTGCATAGTAAACTATAAGAGTGAAACAGAGTTATGTAGAAATTTTGGAAACTTATGTGAATCTTTGCGGTATTTGCGTTTAATATGATACAGCTCAATTTTAACTCTACTTATACTCCATGAAGCGTGTTCTTCTTCCTAATGTACACGGTGTCCCAAAAGTAAGTACTCACTTTTTGATCGTTAGTAACTCTCTTCACAGGAAGCCTTTTGCTTAGCTGCAAGTACCATGCAGTAGTGCAGGCTTCAACTTAGGTTTATAGTATGGAGCAAAACACTTATGGCTCTTAATTGCTGTAAGATCGATAGGAAAATATACAGCGCCATTTTGAAATAGGCCAGCAAAAAAGCTTCCAAAAAACTGGAAAGTTGTGTAGCAGTGTTTCAGAAATGCTAACACAATTAGACAACCTTGCTGAGATTTACGCGTTCCAATTAGTTTAGATTTTGAATCAGTGAAAAAAGGCAATTGCGTGTACTTGGCATAAGTTATGAAAAAAAGCCTTCTGGCAAATTGGAAACTTCACATTCATGATCAGCGACTCTGTTTAGTCTTGTGATAAAGTTTTCAGCTTGCTGAGAATCCATTTTGGGCCAAAATTCATACATTGATTTCAACCATCAATGTATACATAAGTTTGATAGGAAGCTAAGGAGGTTTTGACTTTGTTTGAAACCCTCTTCAACTTTCTATTGTAATACTACAGTAATGAAAATCTATAGGTGCTTCGCTCCATACCAGCAATCTAAGTTCAGGCCTGCTCTAATGAGTGGCTGTTGAATCTAACCGAAAAACTTTGTGTGAGAAGAGATATTAACGATTAAAAAGTGTGTATGATCGTCTCCACGATTCGTGTAGAGGTGTATTGCAGACTTTGCCTGATAACACAGGTAAACTTGCTAAACCTCCACGTCACACCATTGTTTTTTGTACTCTCTCGCTAGCAAAAACCGCCACGCTTTGAGTTGGCAAAACCCCGCCTCTACACGAATCGTGGAGCCGATGATACTAACATTTGAGACAACCCTATATCAATTGCCATATCCAATCATGTTGAAACATGATTGCTTAGTTCCTCAGAAGACTTTCCTGCTGAAACATGGTAACGTGCACCTACAAGACATACGGCATTATCAACATAGCATCGGAAAATCACTAGCAGTAGAAGATTTCATGCACCGCTGATGCGTCATGGCATGTTCCGAATAAACGTCAGTGAGTACTCTGCTGACTACCAGGTAGATTTTAACCTCAACGTAGATTTGTGAATAGCAAAGTTAGCTTGAGGTTAAAATCTACCTTGAGGCGTGCTCTCAAGGTAAAATTTAACCTCAAGGTTCGTTGATGAATACGGCCACTGGTTTTAGTGCACTGCGTGACAAGAAATGAATAAATTTCAGAGGCGCTCAATTCGATCATTTCAACCGCAGCGAACATTTACCACTCGTTTTCTTCCATATAACATAGTAAATTACCTTGAAAATGTCGTAATCCGCGTAGATATCCCAAGTGTAGGATGTGTTGCCTGGAAATGAGATTAAACAGAGCATTCGCATGCAAGTTTCACAGAGTATATAAAACTGTAGACAACAAAATTCTTGAGTACTGAAGCAATCGAATAGTTATTTTTAGTTTGGGACAATCCTCCTGCCGAAGCGCAGATTTCTGTCATGGGCTGCTGTACGATGTGACCACCGTGTGACAGAATTATTTTGAAATACATTGTGCTTTGCAGGAAATAGCAAGAATAACTAACAGAAGTATAGTTCATTTTTAAAATCGTGACGACGGGTATGGCTGCGGTCTTTGTGCACAAAGGAGCATAAAACAACCATACAAACAGGCATCACCTCAACTCTCAGCCCAGTACTTCCAAAGTCTTGGTACTATCATATGTAAGCGGGAAAACCAGCGGGAAAAGTAGAGACGGAAACCAAAAAATGGGAGTATGTGCGTGTCGCGCGCGGTCGCGCCTTCGTCACGATTTTCCGAGTGCCCTATACTACGGGATCTCTTCTTCTCTTTCCTGTCCTACAAAAATTCAGTCAAGTGATTGTACATACTTTTTCCGGCAACTAATTATGAGAAAATGTATCGCCTCTATAGGCGCATTTTTTTCTTAAAAAAAATTTCAACTGAATGCAGTAGAAGTGCAGATGATGTCATTTTTCTCTCTAGTATAAATAAAGTGGTGGTCCTGGATAAACCTACACAGATTCTGCAGCACCGGATCCCTTTCGGCTTCTGGTGAACGACATCTTTTAGGTGGACAAGTCGGATCGTTCGATCCTGCTTTTGTTGGCATCTTTGTCTGTAAAATTAATTTGGGTGATCTCAAGTTCTTTTGGAGCGATTTCGAGAACTTTGTTTGAGCATTTCTGACAACTGAAGGGTAGTCTGATATTATCATTACACGGGATTATTTCTAGACTTGTGCGTAATAGATTACCCTTACCTTATGGAAGTTACCCGCGTACAAGAGATCTCTGTTGTTCGGATAGAAAAATGAACAAGTGCATGAGCCGATGCCTGTGCTCAATCTGTGCATAGTCTGATTCGGAGGAGCACTCAAGTCCAAGCGGTAGATCTGCAAAATAAAGTATGAACACGTATATAGGTATCAAAAATACCAGCCGTTTTTTTGACTACCTGATCGCAATCCACACCATAACCGGTTGCTTGGAGCGTTAGATAGTTATCATCAAAACTGTAAATATCAGTTGGATATATCGGAAAAAGTTTTCAGAAATAGCAGATTCAACACTGGGAGAGTGACGAAGTTTTAGGCGTAAAAAATTAGCTATAGGGCGCATTATTTCAAGATTCAACCTCCACGGCCAATGTCCGCGCACAAATGTTGTCGACACCGCGATTGCACTACATTAACCGCAGATCTGCTGGAATGTATGCTCATTACCTGAAATAAGCCTCGGCATGCGTACCATGGAATGTCAACTGCCGTACATTTCTAAAGTACTTCTCTCCAGGATAATGAATCTGAGCTAGTGTCAGCGATGCTATACACACTACACTTGCCCCAAGCCACATCTGAAATAAATTTTTTCGTAAAGGAAACGAACGAAAGTGGATGAATAACACAGGTTTAGGAATGACTCGCAGTTATACAGATAAGAGGATTATTGTATCAGGCGGCATTGAATAGCAACCTTATCAGATGGCAAGATTTGGAATTACATCATATAGAACATTACGACCCAAAAGTGAAGTGGATACTGTAGTAAGAGTAAGTCGAAAGTGTCATTCATGTTCAAAAAAGAATTCACTATTTTTATGGCGTATTTACCTAAAAAGAAAGGAATAGGCAGTTGGCTCATTAGCATTACTGCAAAATGACCCAGCATGAATTTACAAGAAAGTTATTTTGGACTGCTTTTCTCGTAGACTTTTTGAGCTGCTCAATAACACATTTCAATTTCCAAATTACTCTCTTCCAACCAGTTTACCCTAGCAAATCAAAGAATGTTCTGCTAAAATCTTCGCCAAAAATCCGAAGATGCAGTATCAACACATAATTACAGGACGATATGAGCCAAATTTTTGCACATACGTCAGATATAAGCTAGCCAAAAACCGCATTAAAAGACTGAAGGAGCAGACTTCGCGAGAACAAAATTACATACAGTACAGAGAAACTTCTTTTTTGTGGAAGTTTTACAATTCCTTGACATTTAATACTAGCCAAAATCTGGAAAGGGAAGAATGCAAAGTGAACATCATTCATCATGGGAAATCTGTATCATCAGATCAGAATAATATAGAAAAGCTGATATCGAAACTGTGACTTGTAACTGCTGGACTTTCTTTCAGTAAAAGTTATGAACGCTTCATCTACCAGAATTTGCATTGTTTCAAAATAACAGGGACCACAGACATCAATAAATTGACTATTTATTACGAACAGACTTGACTTTCTTACAGCTTACAAATTATCCACAAAGCAGCATCAAGAAATGATTAATATCATCACACATGGCCTCCGAATTCGGATAGATCAGATGCTTTTGATTTTGACGCCTTGTGGAGTCAATCCAAGAAAAAAATAACTTTTTTTTAAAGAGAGCACAAAAGATACGAGCATAGACCCCATGTTTTATGACGTAGTAACATACAAATCAACACAAACGGAAAGGATAACTAATACTTTTATGAGTTCTTCATATGGCTCATTGTACTACAGTAATCCAATATGAACTTCCACTCTATTAATGGTCACGGCGTAGAACCGCAAAATTTTTCTACAAGCAAAAACACCAAATATGGAAGGAAGTATGAGTGCAAACAACTGTAGTGGGAAGGTACAAAATGATGTAAGAAAAAATTTCCTACATTCTATGGATTCAATTTTTAAAACAACTATGCTAGTCCCTAGTTAGAAGTTACTCTATTTCGTATACTTATTCCACATTAAACAATGGAGTGAGGATGAAAAAATACAGAGGCTGCGAAAATAAGTGAAGATTTGTAAGATTTGATTTATTTTTTCAACGGAGCTGAACAAATTGGGTTGTGTGAGAGGTTTGCTAGGAATGTGTACACGATTAGACTAAATAATTGATCAAGATGGATGAAAACAGCGATTGCGATCAATAGTTGGGAAGAAAGCTGCACTCAATGACGGAAAACAACAATGTGGACAACAAACAGCACATAGTTTTCCAAAGTCATCACTGGATCAGAGAACAACAAGGGTGAAATTGGACTATAGAAAAATTAAATAACTCTGTACATCTATAACTATGATTGCTATCTCGAACAACAAAGCGAAGAGTTGAAATATACCTAGTTTTTTCTACGAGTCCGAAAAACAGTAATGAAACCAAAATTTGTGGAGCATTAGAAAAAAATAGTCTACGTAGGCGAGGCAAGACTTCTTCGAGGAGCACTCCGACACTTCACACTACTGAATTGTACCCGAAGTGCAAATCCTAATTGCAGGGTCAAGCAGCATAAACAACTTGCGATGTTGATTGATCCTGAGGATATAAATAGATTAAGTCTTTATCTCTTCTTTATCCCGTCCAAATTTTCATATGTGACATAATACTCTCCTCGGTGGAATTTACAGAACATCACCAATGCTCTGAAGGTTATCAAAAAAAAAACTTTTGGAAGTTGCCTAGCAGTTGATAAAAACACGAAAACATAAATAGAATTCCTTGAAGTACTTTGATCACTGAGCAAGTTGCTGCTTATTTGGATTCTTTATCCCCGGTAGGTCAAATCTACCTAACTTAACTTGAACTAGAATAGAACTACAGTCGCTAACGATGTTTTTTTTTGATAAGATACTACTCCAGTTTTTGATTCGTATATTGACTTTCCAAGATTCAGCACTCCATGATGTTCTAGTAGGTCGTAGAATAATTTTTTTTACAATTAGAAAAAATCTCCATAATTTAATAAAGATTTCCCTACATCTATTGCTATTCAATGGCTATCATATGCGCAAATGTAACGCATGAAGATCAAATTGTTGAAACTCATGAAAATTTTTGAATTAGTTTTGGCAGATCATCTTGCTATAGTGAGCAGTTCAAACTTACAAACTGCCTTCTTATTAGCCTAGATGCATCATGAGATCCAACAGATATCCAAAAAGTACGAAAGCGGAGAAAAATGGAGATGAGGTGCTGTTACAGAAGTATCTTTTATTTATTGTGACTTCCTGAAAATTGAAAAGATTTTATCTTTGTCCCCGAAGATAGCGTAGCAAGATCATGTTACGAGATGTATCCTGGAAAGGGGAAATATTTTCTACTTTCTGTAGCATCTCTGTCTTGCAAGCAGCACTCCTTAGGAGTATTTGGTCCTAAAATTGCTTACTCCAAAATTCTTTTTGGCTTGCTTTCCGAATGAGAAACCGGTCACCTTCACTAAAATATCTTTGGAGACAGCTACCCTACAACCAAGAAAGGGCAAACAGTGCTGTCTGAAGCCTTGAGGACTGCCGGAAAGCATTGAGTTGGATGTTTCAATTATGAAGTTTGCTTGCTAGAATTAAATCTTATCATATAGATTAATTTATGAAAACTATGAAAACCGCGAAAAATCCAACAAAAAATTTGGCAACATACTGAATCTGGAGAATAGTCAACAAGCCAAACGACTTTGATCAAATAAAGATTAAAGTACTTCACCAGCGTTATGGCTGTGCATACATTCGTTGTCCTTCAAATTGATGACCTTGTTCTTTTATATATAACTTATCGACCTTCTTAACTTCTAGAAATTTCTTATCGGGTGTAGAAAATAGTATCAAATAAACATAAGTGTAACCACGTCTGCGAGCTCTAGGTAAAGTTCTAGAAGTGTGACAAATGGGGCACGCTTCTGAGTTAAGAACTTGGCGTATCGTCAATACCGAGTATAACTTCTTACTCCAAATCACTGAAACCCACCACAAGAATAATATCACCATAAAAACTTTTGTTTTTCTTTTAAATGATAAGCGCCACAGAAACTATAAAAGAAAAGCAGAGGAGGGTAGGATTCACATATCGGTTTCGGAAGGCTGTTCGGACGTCAGCAGCAAGTGTGCTGCCCGATCCACTGCTATACTAACCAATCCATCACGATCAAGTCGTCACAATGAGGAAATCAAGAAGGCCAACTAGAAAATCGTCGCGATCCCCTGGTATGCCAAACTCCAGGGTATTCTGTGGACGAGTTGCTCTGAGTTAATGTTTCAGTGGCTTCGCAGCTGGCCACTTGTGAAGAGTCAAGCACAGCCGAAAAGACTGCAAAGCAAGCACGAAGGAAGAAATCTCGAGCTGCAAGTACGGGTTCCCGTCTTTGAAAGTACAGTATCCTTACCGTAATATTACAGTGACGCTGGCCACATGTGAAGATGATGGCACGCAGGTTGAAAGGGCCACGAGAGCAAGAAGGCGAGCGCCTCGCCGTGGGGGAGCTCAAGTTGATACCCCAGAATTCCGTAACGCATTTCGGGAGTTTTGTCTGCAAGTCAACAAGGTATTGGCCAACCCCAGGGGAAGTGCAGCAGCTAAGCTTCGAAATTTTCAGATTGGAGTGCAAGGATTAGTAACAGAGTACGTAACATTAAGAGCTCAAACGCAACCTATAGGTGCCAAACCAAAGCTAGCTTTTGATGCTAATCCCAAAAAGAATAGATACAAAGGTAGCTTAGAAATTAGCAGCTACAGTATGCTACCATACTACCGTATTCTCAGATGTCTACTGTGCAGACCAATCACGTGTGGTCTTGAACTGGCCAGCAGGCGCGAGCGACTATATTCATGCGAACTGGATCACAGGGACTGATGTCCCAAGAAAATTCATTTGTACTCAGGCATGTCAAAGCACTATATCGGCAAAGGAGTAGCAGATTGAATGTTCTGTTCTTAGGGACCTACTGCTCAGACGGTAGAGGACTTTTGGAGGATGATCTGGCAGGAGAAATGCAAAAGTATCGTGATGCTTTGCAATGTGATAGAATGCGGAAAGAAGAAGTGTGAACAGTATTGGCCAGAAGCAAGCAATCCCACGGTACGTCGAATTTAAATGAGGCCTAGTTTGTCCCAAACGGTACTAAACCTAAGTTGGCTTGAAACAACGCAGCTGCATCGCAAAATTGCGGTACGAGTGCGCCAGCTAGAGATTGGAGAGAATTAACAGAGGACAGACATGGTCCTGATACGACATGTAAAGCCGCTCGCAGACGCGACGCGGAAATCCTGACGATGCGAAAGCGATTCATTACGAAGCATGCTTGGGACAAAGCACAACCGGAGAATGACCAGTCACCATCGCTGTAACAGACTAAATGCTCCTCAGACTTCCAAATACATTTTTAGACTACCAAGAGCAATAGCGGTCCATTTGACACAAAGCGAAAAGATTCTAAGTTAGGTCCTATCGGCTCTATCATCCTTACCTACGATTATATGGCGTAGCATTTGCCATTCCATCTTACTTCAATCCATGCTCCTACCTTCACATTTCAGTTCCACATTCCAGATGCGGTTGGAAGGATGTAACTTGAATTTGCGGTATATAAAATCTCAAGATGTTGAATCAAACATACTACAAACATCAATTGAAGTGACAGTAAATGCTGATGTTAGGGTTAGTTAGAAATATTGAGATAGTGCCTAAAATCAAGCATCAATTGCTCCTTTCAGAACAGGCATATAGTGGAACATATTCAATGGAAAGATTGGCCTGACAGGGGTGTCCCACCGACGAATTTGTCATCATTTCGGCTTCTGATGCGCGTGAGAAATCTTACACCGATAGTAGTGCACTGTTCTGCTGGTATTGGACGAACTGGCACGATAGTTGGTTTGGATATGCTTTATACGAAATTAGAAAAAGGCACACTTGTGAGTTTGGGTTTGAAAACTGCGACAAATCTGCATGTAAAAAGTTGTTCCAGGTCACGCTAGAAAGTATAGTGAGAGATCTCCGCAAGGATAGACATGGATCAGTACAGACAGACGCGCAGTACCTATACATGCATCGCATCCTTATCGCAGTGGCAGAAAACAAAAGGGTAAACTTTGTTATGGTTCCCCTTCATTACAAAGAGCTTTCACAGTTTTGCAGGTGGTCTCTGCAGCGGACGTTGAGAAGTTTGTAACAGACTATGACACATACTGCAAAGCCAAGGGATACTGCCAATAATATGCCACATCACTATAGAAGCAACAATTATACGATACGATATTTCACTTCTGATATTACGAAATGTCTAGAGTAAATTTTGCTCTGCTGTTTTAACTTAGTCATTTACCTACTCAAAGGCCACATTCGTTTAAGGACCAGTGTGACACATTTTTGCAAGTGCAAGTGGCATCGTTATGCATGGCTACAGTATCGGCTCGATCTCAGTTGTTTAACACATCTCCGGGAGAACACTTGAGTTGAACAGGCGGGGAACGAAGCTCCGCGTCGGCGACTTCCGTTAGAGGCCCGAAGGCTGTCCAGAGTGCTCTCTCTTCCTTTTAGTCTTGCCAAGTTCTTCCTTCAAATAAATCTCATGTTTATCGTCCGAGATATAGGTAAGAAGTCTGCACAATAGGAGCGCCTCCCAGTTCCATTTCTGCATCTTCGCAAAAGGCGTTCCTCATGAACTGAGTCTTCTTCCGATTTATTCGCAATCCGATCTTCTTCCCTACTTCGTTTAGTCCCCCTAGCATCATCGTCCCTGCTTCGGTGATACTGCTTGAAAAGAGGACGATGTCGTCCGCAAAACGAATGTGCGTCAGGTATTTCCCATCAACCCGTATGCCTCTCTAGTCCCAGTCCAGTGACTTCATCCCGCTGCGAGGCCGCGGTGAACAGCTTCGGCGAGTCGCCTTATGCACCCCCTTCCCAACTGGTATGGTCGGGTGGCAATGGAACGCTGCATTCGTTGTTGTACAGTCCTTGTAGCAGTCGGCTAGTGTCCTCATGTAAGCTGGGTCCACTCCTTGATCGACTAGCACTGACAGAATGGCGTTAGTCTCAACGCTGTCAGAGGCTTTCTCGTAGTCGACGAAGGTTACGACAAGACGTAATCGGTATTCCTGGCAGACTTCTATGACCCTCGAAACCGTCTGGAGGCGGTCCATGCAATTAAAACATGCGCGAGATCCACCTTGTTCTTAAGTGGGCTTTATCCAGTGTTCTGGACACACGAGCGAGGATAATTTTTACAAAATGTTTTTGTACAACACATTCAGCAGGCACATCGGAGAATAATTTTGAAGATCCTTGCGTTCGTTTTTGAAGAGAAGGACGGTTCTGAATTTCTCTACTGGCCGGGGATCCTTCCTTTCTGATGGTGAGATGTTAGATGCGACGCGAGAACCTCATGCCCTTCGGCTTGTAGAAGTTGACGGAAAGGTGGTCTGGTTGCGGAGCCGTAAACATCTTTATGTCTGAATCGCGGGTGCGCACTTCAGCAAATAGAATCCGTAGTGGTACTTCTCCAGTGGGAACAACGGGCTTTGGCACGGATGTTGAGGGGCGGGAGAGTTTGGTGTGGAAGTACGTTGATAAACTTCATTTTGTTCGGGAGGAAGTCGGAGCCCCGTCTACGTCCAGTAGTTTAGAAAGCGGCATGTGATAATTTACAGAGGTCCCTTGAGCAATTCTTAAGACTTCGTCTTCCTTCGGCTGCTTCGAATACTTTGGTTTGCCTGTACTTCTTGAGACTCCCCTGCAAAGCTTCTGTAACTGGCGTTGGCCATCAGTTGCTCGGAGTTGCATTCATCTCCATTTCTCCGAGTAATTCCTTGTTGGTCTTCGAAATGCGTTCCAAGTTCCTCTCGAAAGCCACTGAACCTCGCTTTCTGCAGGCTCGCAATTTTTCAACAGCTCGTAGTTGTACGCTGGATCCTTGTCGATGGACTAGTCATAACTTGATGTGAGCTGTTTCAGCCTGTTACTGTCATAAATGATCCATACTTCCCAATCCTATATTCCTCTTCTAATTGCATCCCGCCCGATTTTCGCGTTGCAGGCACCCACAACAAACTCGTGAAAGGAATCTTTGCAGACTTTTCTCTTTTTCGTCTTCGTAGGAAGCATCCCTTATACTTCTACTTCGACAGCTGCTGATGTTGATTTAGCAGTTGATGCTTCTGCCGCACGTCCTCCTTCCGGACTTCATTTTCTGCAGAGTGCTGGTACTTAGAAGCAGTGTCCGGGCAAAAAGTCGATTCTAAGATTTTGTGCTTACCCGGGCCTATTCGCTATGCTAATCCTAAAATCTACACAGGAGAGTGCAAAACGGCGGAAAATGGCTGTAACGCATGAGGGAAATCAGAAGTGGGCGGGTCTTCCCAACTGTGAACTCACGGTCCCAGCTTCCAGAGCGATTACCTCGGTTCCGATTTCAAGTCACGCATTCGCTCTTGACCTGTGGAGATGTCAGGGCTGCTAGCGGAAATTGAGAAGATCGCTCCGGAAGCCTGGAGTGAATTCACAGTGGAGAAGATCCCCACCTCCTGATTTCGACCCTGCGTTAGAGCCCTTTTTCGGTTTTCGCGCTTTCCAGCGTGGATTTTTAGATTCAGCATAGCGAATAGGCCCTTATAAGCACAAAATCTCAAAATCGACTTCTTGCTCGGACCTGCCTTTAAAGGCAGTGTCCGAGCAAAAAGTGCTGTGCGGCATTGAGAAGCGTGGAGGTCGCGTTGTGGAGACTGGCGTGGTAGGTGCAGAGCATGAGCCGGTCTCCATGACGTGCCGCCTGGGCAGAAGTGTATCTTTGCCAATCAAAAGTTGACTCGAGGAATTTGACATCGTTCTTACTATCACCCGGTGCCGTAGACGGAGGTCCCCGAGTCGTAAACACACTTTTACAGCAAAAAAGTTTTGTACTCCTCAGATTTTCGCGAAACTTGGTAAAAGTCTTGTTTTCAAAGACTTTACGCCACAGAAGACGCACTTGCTTAGGAATTGAGACACAGAATGCAAGCTCTGGTCTTGCCGGTAAGGTCAAGGCAGACTCTTTCTATGGCTGAAACGACAAAAAGTTTTTTTTCTCTACAGTTTTCGTGAAATGGCGAAAGTCTTAGATTGTTGAGGATTTGATTGTGTCGTAACTAAGCAACGAGAAAAAAGGTTTTCACATCACTGTATTTGTTTGCGGTGTTTTGAAAAAAAAGACAGATAGTATAATTTTGTGTCTGCCTGCGAAATTTGATTTTTCAAGAATTTCATCAAGCTTTTGTAGCAAAGGGATGGAAACACCGTTTAGAGTTAGATGCATTTCTTACCAAAGAAACTACGATTGTATCTTACTTAACTCTGTGCATCAGAGGCTCACTACTTCTACTACTATTTACCATCAGCTTCCAGTCTGGCGTTAGAGCGGTCGCGATGGTCAACCGACAATCAGTTTAACAGCTATGTTTCAACATTGGACAATAGAACCGCTGATACGCTCGCCGGACCCGCCCCTGTGGCAATCTGAGATCCGATGGTATATGGTATATCCGGTGGTATCTGAGATCCAATAGTATATATTCTAGCATAGATGGCACTCTTATTGCGATGCTGACTTTTGAATAAATTCTAAACAACTAGGGATCGGCCATACTATTCCAGGTGATTCCTGCTATTCCTGCGATTCCTGTGATTCCGGCACGTTTTATGTGCCGCTCAAATGGGCGCGTGTTCGCGTTTGTCAGTTGGTGCCGCGAAGGACAAAATCAAATGAGCTCATACTTTGCAGTAAACGTCCTTTTTTCAGATTGTAGATGTATGTACACCGTAGGCCGGCAAAGTCCCATCGTCACCTCCCCGCGGTGCCGGCTGGCAACGGGGATCAACCCCGGCAAACGGCGAGGGCACTGTCCCGTCAGGCGGAGCGGCGCGCCGGGGACTGTACGAATCAGTCGTGTCACATGCATCGGACTATTAAGGATTTTCGTCAAGCTGCTAGGGCGTCCCCCGGAGGCGACGCGCGTCATTGCCCGCATGGCGCGAATAGTGAGCTAGGGCTACCTGCCCCCGGACGAGGCAGGCCAAAGAAGCGAGTCCAGGAAATCCGACTAGCGACGATTAATATAGGAACGCTGACGAGCCGCAGCCGGGAGCTATGTGATAGACTGAAGGAGCGACACGACATCGCATGTGTACAGGAAACGAAATGGAAAGGGAGGCAGGCTAAGGACATCGGCGACGGATATCGCTTATACTAGACGGGAGATAGCAGCCGCCAGAACGGAGTCGCGATCATCGTCAGCGGTAGATACCGCGAATTAGTGACCGAAGTGACGCGCATTTCAGATAGATTGATGGCGATGAAGATCGAAGCAGATGATGTCACGCTTCGAATAGTCTCGTGTTATGCTCCGCAATCCGCATGTACCGAAGCCGAGAAGGACGTGTTTTGGAGGGACTTCGACATCCTGCTAAGGACATTTGACGCTGCAGACTACGTCTTCGTAGGAGGCGATCTTAATGGGCACGTTGGCCACGAACACGATGGATTCAAGAGATACCATGGTGGAAACGGATACGGTCAGAGGAATGAAGATGGAGAACGCATCCTGGAAGCTGCAGAAGCACACGACTTGGCGATAGCGAATACATTTTCAAGAAGCGGGAGTCACATTTGATCACGTACGCGAGTGGAGACCGCTCAACTCAGATCGACTACTGGATGCGGCGCCGATGCCATTTACCCGATGGTGATGAACGCGAAGGTTATACCCACGGCGACACATGCATTTGCGCCACAACACCGGTTGCTCGTATTGGATCTTCGATTGAACATCCACTTACATTCAAGAGCCAGAAGGACGACCACAAAGAGGATCAAATGGTGGAAGCTTCCCAAACATCGCCAGCTAGTCAGAGATGTTTTTAACGACTTGAGGGTGTCGACGGATGACAAGGAATCGATTGAAGAGCAGTGGAATCGGACTGCTTCGCAGATACGATCGAGGGCCGAAACAATCTTGGGAACCACCAAACCAGGACGCCGGTTTGTAGACAAGCAGATCTGGTGGTGGTCCGAGTCAGTCCAGCAAGGATCAAGGAGAAGAAAGAAGCCTTCAAAGCCTGGCAGCGCTCACACTCAAATGAGGACCTCCATCGATATCGAGAACAGAACTCGAGGGCGAAGCACGCGGTAGCCGAAGCAAAGGAAGCACACTACAAGAGACTTTACGACGAGCTGGAAGGACCTGCAGGAGCTAACAGGGTCTACCGACTGGCCGCTGCACGACACCGAGCGAAGCAGGACATCGACCACGTCATGCACATTAAGGACGCAGAAGGCAACCTCCTGACGAAGCCGAGGGCAGTACTCAAGCGATGGAGTGAATACTACAAAGGGCTATTTAATGAGGAGCTCCCGCACCCGTTAGTACCGCAAGGAGCCCCCACATTTGGACCGGTATCTCGGATCGAGGAGGCAGAAGTTGTGCAGGCACTGAGGAAGATGTCTAGCGGAAAAGCTCCGGGACCCGACGACATACCTGCTGAAGTATGGAAGATGATGGGGCAGCGTGGAGCGGCATATCTCACATCGCTATTTAACCGCATTATCGTTGACGGACAGTTGCCGCGGATCTGGACTACGAGTGTCACAGTCCCTATCTGGAAGGAAAAGGGCGACGTCAGCGACTGTTCAACATATCGACCAATACGCTTGCTATGCCACACGATGAAGATCTTCGAACGAGTCATCGACGCACGCATTCGAAGTATAGTGGAGGTCACCCCGAATCAGGCGGCTTTGTAAAAGGATCGGGCACCATCAACGCCATCCACGCAGTACGATTGCTAATGGAAAGGCATTTGGAGAAACGGATTCCGATTCATTTCGCATTCCTGGATTTAGAAAAGGCATTTGATTGGATACCACACGGGCTGATCTGGTATGCGCTGAGACAACACGACGTCCCAGAAGAGTACGTTCGCTGGATCAAACTCCTCTATACGAACACGACGGGCGCCATACGCTGTGCAGTGGGAACGTCAACGCCATTCCCAATCCAAGTCGGAGTACACCAAGGATCGGCTCTATCACCGCTTCTCTTTATACTGTGCATGGACACGGTGACCAAGGACATTCAGCTGCCGCGTCCGTGGACGCTCCCTTACGCAGACGACGTCGAGCTAGCAAGCGGATCGAGACAAGAGCCTGAAGAGGCGACTGTGAAATGGAAGACACGATTAGCGGAATATGGCCTATGACTAAACGTAGCAAAGACCGAGTACCTGGAATGCGGAGAGCAAACCGATGGCTCAATTAGCATTGATGGGCAGCAACTGAAGAAGGTCACGATATTCAAATACCTGGGCTCCCGAGTGACGTCGGATTGCGACACGATCACTGATGCTCGTGCTAGGACGAACGCGGCGTGGCTAAAATGGCGGCAAGTAACAGAAGTACTCTGCGACCGACGAATTCCGTTGTATCTCAAGTCGAAAGTGTATCGGACTGTGGTGAGGCCAGTCGCACTGTATGGAGCCGAATGTTGGCCAGCAACCAGGAAACACGAGCAGATCCTGAGCACGAGAGACGCGAATGTTAAATGGATACTTGTAACGAGAAGAAATTGCGTCACGAACGATGATGTACGACACATTTTCGGAGTTGCACCTATCGCGGATAAGATGCGAGGTGCCAGATTACGATGGTATGGTCACGTTTTACGAAGTGAAGATAATACAGTAGTAAAAACAGCACTTCGTCTAGATCCACAGGGGAAGAGACCACGTAGCCGTCCGAAGCAACGCTGGTTGGACACCATTCGAAACGACCTGCACATTGCAAAGCTCAAACCACAAGAAGCAGCTGATCGAGTCAAATGGAAGCAAAAATGCACCACCGCCGACCCTGCACCCGCGGGACAATGGCGAAGATAAAAAAAAAGAAGAAGAAGATGTATATACACCGTTACTAATATGAAAATGTTTTAGAGGTGTTGACGAACGATCCACTTGAATCAGATCTCGCGTTTCATCGAACACAGCTGTTTGCTTTCACAACAATTACAACGTTATGTCGTAGCATGTATGCAATGAATGTTGTAGAATGCTCAGCACCAGGTATGCTGTCTAGGTTTTGTGAAGACTGTGTACATAATGTTTTTGTGTGTTTTTTTTGTTTTCTCCGTCCCAAGCAACTCGATCCGGCAGAACAAGTACGGTGCATCACTTTAGCTTGTCCCATCAAGCCAGTCGCTTCAAACTGAGAGTACAAAAAATAACATGTACAAAGTCCTTAACATCCAAGACAACTTACATGGTGCTGAGCATACACGCTGACGCTCAAGCTGTAAGTCGCTCGTGCCCATCGAAATGCTCAGACAGCGGATAGGACCCCTCCGCCGGAGAAATGGCAGGGTCGCGGCGTATCCCCAGCGGTGGGTCTCCCATTTGTCCGGCGGAGACCTCCCATTTCTGCTCCGGATACCCCCCATTTTCTGCTCCGGAGACCCCCCATTTTCTGCTCCGGAGACCTCCCATCTTCTGCTCCGGATACCCCCCATTTTCTGCTCCGGAGACCTCCCATCTTCTGCTCCGGATGATTGATTCTGCCAGATTTGACGGACTCCGCGCCGCAGAAATCTGCGGCGCGGAGTCCGTCAAATTTGGAAGAGCCGCGCCGGAGAAATGGCGGACCTTTGCAGCAGGGCCGGAGAAGCCTCCCATTTGCCTGCCAGTGATGCCACCGCGATGGACCGCCCATTTGCCCTTCTCTCATTGGTCAACTGGGTCCGGCGCGACTCTGGCAGTTTCCGAGGGTCCGGCGGAGGGGTCCCGTCGATTGTCTGAGTGTGTGTTTGAATTAAGTTACCCCCGCTGACTCCTATAAATTTCACTCGCTTACGAGTTCATTTTATTCATAGAATGAAAAGAAAGAATGTTTAAAGTCATAAGCTCATTTGATTTTGCCCTACGCAGCACCAAATGACACCCGCAAACATGCGCTCATTTAAGCGTAGCATAAGACGTGCCGGAACCACATGAATCGCAGGAATAGCAGGAATCACCTGGAATATTATGGCCGATTCCCTACTCATTCCGAAAGCTTGAACATTGAGTCGGTGATTTTGCGTGTATGGAACTTTTCGAAGAAGAACAAATGTAAATTTAAATTCATGTAATTTTTATGCCTTGCTAAAGGACAGTGATTAGGACAGTGATTCGTTGGCTACTTCTCTGCGCAAAATTCCTCTCAATACTTAGATAAAAGCTTGGTAAATTGACATTTACGCAACCGACTCTTTTTACCGCCGTTTTCATAAGGCCTGGAGCAAAGTTCACGCGTTTGATCGTCGCGATAAAAGACAAGTGTTACGAGTTCATTGCATGCCGATCTTCTTGTATTTCGGTTGTAGTTAGTCACGGTTAGTCGTGTTGGAAAACTATCACAACCGGAATGCAAGAAGATCGGCATGCAATAAACTCGTAACACTTTTCTTGAAGCAGTTGAATCGCGGCGATCAAATCGCTCAACTTTGCCCGATGCTTAGGGCCCCGGACACACTTCACGCGACTTAATCGTCGCGATCTAATCGCCAAGATTTCCATTCATTCTCATTTCACATTCAAAAATTTCGGGCTGGAAAAGTATCACAACCGAATGCAAGTTGATCGGCATGGAATGATGTTGTAACAGTTGTCTCGTCGCGATTCAGTCGCGACGATCAAATCGCGTGAAGTCTGCCCGGGGCCTAAGGAAACGGCCACAGGTTGTCGGGCAACTGTGTTCGAGACGCCAGAGATGCCGAGGCTGCTGGCTTTGCCGTGGTCAGAGAAAGCTTAGAGAGCGCGCGAAAGTGGAGGCTAATGAGGTACAACACTGGCATTCCCGCAACCTCGGCAATCTCGGCAACCCGGGCAACCTCTGCAACCTCGGACACAGTTGGCAACCTATGGCCCTTCCCTAAAGTGATAGGCGTTTGACCACTTTTCCTGTCTATAGTCCATGGCTTGCACATTCACATGTCAAAGTATCCACGACTTCGCAAAAAGTGCTGATACGGGCCCATTGTTTACCAGAAGCAAAGTGGATCCATCTGACGGGGCGATCCGCTCAATGAACGTGCTCATGCTTTTGGTGGACTTTTATGTTGGTAGCATGCGCTATGCAAAAATTGGAATCATTACTCTACCTACAATTCTGCTTATGCAACCTCCCTCTTCTTCACTTTGGTGGCGTTTACAGTTTCTGCTCCTAGTGATATTAGCATATGATGGCTTGCCTTTGTAAAGGATTTTCTGCGTTTGAAAGATTCATTATTGATTGGACATGTATTGATATGATGCATACGCATTGCATTGATTGAAAAACATAATGAAAAACACGATCTTAGCTTGTAAAAATGGGCTAAGGGTATTTACGTGACTTTGTGTGCGTATGTGTGTCTATTACAAAAGTCGTAGGACGTGTTCCAACCAATGTCCTGCGGCTAGTGCATTTATCTGCGATGTTTTTCAGGGGTCCCTTCGGAACTAGAATTCACTTATCAGCGACACAGATATTCGGTTTGCCTTTTCCTGACAAATCGAGTTGCCTTCGTCAGTGGCGTCAAGCCCCGTTCCTATTTGTCCGTAGCAAAACCTGTCTCTTTCTCGTGATAAATCAGATAAATATTTTCCACACCAAGAAGCAGAATAGTTACTCAAATGAAACAAATCTGCATTTGTATTTGATTTCCTATCTTCCCCTGCCTTAAAGGCAGTGTCCGGGCGGATACGAAAATTTAGAGTACAGGGGTGCCCGTCCTGGTAAGGCTCTTGCCCAACTGGCAGTGCACCAGTTTACTTCTGAAGCGAGAAATCCGCTTCAATGTAAACTGGAACGTTCCGGAAACCGGGCGAGTTAGTTCTATAAGCCAGAGTGCGCATACCGCACACAGCCAAGACGTAGGGTCCCACAAAAACTCTGCGTCTTAACCTTGGCTGCAGGCGACAAAATTCAAATCAAGAGCTCTGGGAAAGCCCTTTTCGTCGTTTTCGTGCCCTAAGTTGCATTTTCAGAATCAGCCGGGAGAAATAAGCCCAGGTAAGCGAAAAAAGTTTCATTCGAAATTTTGCTTTGACACTGCCTTTAAAAGTTGCGAAGTGCGATAATTCAAAAATTTCGTTTTTTGACATAAGTAAGGACTCTTTCCATACCAGAATTATGAACACAAGAATATATATAGCAATACAGCGTGAAGCTTCGCCGTGGCATGTGTATGTAACGTATAAGATATGCTGGTGTGGCGACAATGTATAATGGCTTTTTATCTCAAAGGTTTTTAGAGTAGTTGAATGTACGCTTGTATGCAAGCGCATCTTATATATAAAGCTGAATGTCTGTTTGTCTGTCTGTCTGTATGTCTGTATGTCTGTCTTATGTCTGTCTGTACGTATGTTCCGAATAGAAAATTCCATTTCTGAACCGATCCGGACCAAATTACAGCCCCTAGCTCAAATTTTGCAAAAAATCGATAAAATCGATAAAAGTAATGCACGGCTTCGAAAACTAACATTGTATTCGTGATCAGCATGCTCGATTACCCCCCTGTGCCAACTCCCAGCCCCGTAGCTCAAATTTTGCAAAAAATCGATAAAATCGATATTGATCGATGACGAAAAGTAGCCTATGACACCCGCCGGGGCCCGTAGTGTATGTGTGCCAAGTTTGGTCCGGATCGGTTCAGAAATGGAATTTTCTATTCGGAACATACGTACAGACAGACAGACAGACATACAGACAGACATACAGACAGACAGACAAACAGACATTCAGCTTCATATATAAGATTATTACGTGGAACACCTGTTCAAAGATATATAATCATATCTTATCGTACTTCTCGGTAAGGCAGCCTATACATGTGCATTAATAATGGACATTAATAATGGACTTTCTATTCCTTCTTCGCTTATCACCATACGATCATATGTTATCATTTTTTTCTCAAAGCATATGCATAATGCAATGCATATGCATCATATCAATTCATGTGCATTTTATATAAACCTTCCCTAAAAGCAAAAGGTCTTTTTAAGAGCACGTACATCGTAGCTAATCATTTTTCAATTCTGCTTTTGTAATCTCTACTCTTTCTCCACTTTAGTGACATTTACAAATTGGTCAATGTACGGTAAGGGGTGTATTTACGGATGGCTGCAGATTTAGCTGTTGCTTTGCTCACCTTGGTTAGAGAGATCACCCTAGTACGAGTACAAGACGCGCGTTTTTTGTTGTTAAAATCGACCAGCCCAAAGACGTTAAAGGCAGTGGCTCGGGAAAACCGCGACTGGGGGCTTTTCACAACAACATGACGTTCCAGACTAGCTGAGCCAGGTACTGTGCTTAAAATGTCAAGTGTTTTTATGGAGTTTGCCGGCCTTCTCAGACAATCAAAGACTCTCAGTCGGCCCCGCTAAAGGCTCCGAGCAAGCCGCCGTTGCCTTATAGCCTCACTGTCACTTCTCGCTGAGAACTTTTTAGAACTGGCAGCGAGCGGGCTGCCATAAAGCCTTCAGCGCAAAGCGAAAGTGGCGGCGATAAGGCACGACTGCCACTTTCGCTTTGCGCTGAAGACTTTATGGCAGCCCGCTCGCTGCCAGTTCTAGAAAAGTTCTCAGCGGAAAGCGACAGAGAGGCAATAAGGCAACGGCGGCTTGCTCGGAGCTACTGGTGGGACCGGCTGAGACTTTGATTGTGTGAGTTGCAGATGCTGGAGAGGCGGTGCGAGGGATTCCCGCCATAACCAGCAAGTGACTGCAGCATACTGTAACTTCACCTTTTGGCGGCAACTGGCAGATTGGCCCAGGCAATCAATACAATACAGTTGACAGGAATCCCTCGGCCCGCCTCTCCAGCAATCTCCAAGGTCGAAAAACGCCAAAAAAGCACTTTTTTGACTTTTCAAGCACAGTACCCGACTTCATGGTGCAGAAGGCCATGTAGTTGTGGAAAACCCCCACTTGCGATTTTCCCGAGCCACTGCCTCTAAAGGATTTAGCGACCCCGGAACCCTCCACCGTGCTGCGCATGGCTTAAGAGAGTTGTACGGCACAGCAATCACTTCGCGAGGAACAGCGAAGGGGCCGACTGTTCGCATTATGAAGGGAAAGCGCCTCGTGATGGTGAATGAGGTATAAGCTCCTGCAAGACGAGGGCGGTCGGTTCGATGTGCGACGTGGCTGCAACGAGGCTGTGACGCGCCTGTGACGCAACCGTGTCGCAGCCGCGCTGCACATAACCGACCGCCTTCGTCTTGCAGGAGCTTATACTTGCTATGCTATTCACGAATATGGAGGCAGATTCACGGCACAGTGCATGACCCATTTTGCAAAATCTCTTCAGACAATACTTTTCGATGGTCTCACCCCTCATCAGGGCGCCAGACTTCTATTTGCGCTCAAAAGTCACTGCCATTCGTTCAAACATAGCCAGACAGAAAGTGTAGCAAGCGATAGATAGAAAGCTGCGAAAACTATACATATCTTCCTATCAGTGGCGTACCCAGGGTTTCGGCTCGGGGGAAGGGGGAGCGACAAAAAATTTTTCCGATGAAGGTGTGTGGCGTCAACCACGCACTCCGAAAATTTTTTTGATATGCTCTCTAAAATTTTCGCGGGCTCAAAATTTTAAAAGAAGGGAGCGTGGCGACAGCCACGCCCCCGAAGAATTTTTTCATGACGCTTAAATGCATTTCTTTAGAATTTTAAAAATTATTTTAATTATCTACAAGTGCAAACAAGTCATTTGCACAATTTTATGGAGTTCTGGCGCATGATTGGGGACGCCTAAGCGAAGCTCCAGTAAAAGTAGTCCGCGCTCGGGATACTGTAACGTAATGTACAATACCGCTCACAGAATGTGCAAAATTTCCGTGAATGTCGCAGAATTCCAGGAATTCCGCGATGGTTCGCGAAATTTCGGGACTTTCGCGAAACTCCGGAAATTTCGCGAACCATAGCAGAATTCCTGGAATTCTGCGACATTCACGGAAATTTTGCACATTCTGTGAGCGGTATTGTACTGTAGTGGGAGGTATGCCGTGAACAGAGATAAGGCACAGACTTTAGCTCAAATTCTTCGCAGAATGATGCTGTTTCTGAAAATTCAAGTGCACATGCACGATAAATACGGGGCGGGCAGCAGACTGATGTTAGCCATTGAAAATTATCGATGTTACTAATTTTATTGATTTTTTGCGTTGTTTATCCAAGAAAGCTCAAGTTTTCATGTATAAGTTTTGTAGCATGCTGATTACGAAAAAGTTCTAATACCGCATTTTTACAACAGTTTTTTGATTATTACAAAAATTCTACCGTACTGCCACCGTAGCCCCATTGTGGGACAGTAGTGCACAAAATGCACACTATAATCGTGATCAGCACTTAAAACAGCCCCAAAACTCAACTTTTCATGAAAATCCATGATGTTAGGTTCGCACGCAATGACTACCTCAACCTCACCGGATAATGCCAAAAACTCAAATAAATTATAATTTGATAATCAGCGCCTTCGAAAACCCTTCTCGGGAAATTCTCGGAGACATGTCTTGAATTTTTTTTCCAAAAAGACTAAGATTCGGTTGATACGACCCACGGTTGGGTCGTAAGTTTGACAGAGTGAAAAAGGCTCTGATCCGAAACGGCAGTAATCAAAAATTCGGCCTTATCGTGAATGTGTTAAAAAAGTTGATTTTATCTTCAAAGAGTTTGACCTTCATTTTTCGTCTGTCTTATGTTGCAAATCAAGCTATTAATCAAGCTAAATTATAGAAAACAATAGTGAATTTCATGATTTGTCTTGCAGTGGTGTGCAGGTGATTTATAAAATCATGACGACGAGTTTGACAGCGACCTTTGCGCCTAAACGAGCATAATAACGCACATAAAACGGCATCACCTCAACTCTCAGCTCAGTCACTTCCAGCGTCTAATTGTAAGTTACACTATCATACGTAAGCAGAAAAAACCCTTCGAGTATAGATGAAAACCAAGAAAAAGCGGTTGCCGGAAGTGCATGCGTGTCGCGCGTGGTGGCGCTATTGTCATAAGTTCGAATGCCCTATACATCAAGGGCTCTGTTGAGTAAATCAAAACTTCCCAATCTAATACCCAAACTCTTTGAAAGCTAAATTATGCTTACCTGCCTTTCTCAAAGGTGGTAATCTTATATATAAAGCTAAATGTCTGTTTGCCTGTCTGTCTGTATGTACGTATGTTCCGAATAGAAATTTTTATTTCTGACCGATCCGGACCAAACTTGGCATAGATACATTTCGGGGCGGGGCGGGTGTCGTAGGCTACTTTTCGTCATCGATCGACATCGGTTTTATCGATTTTTATCGAATTTTTGCAAGATTAGACCTACGGGGCTGTTGGCACAGGGGGGGGGGTGTAAGCGAGCATGCTGATTACGAATACAATATTAGCTTCTGTAATGGTTACGAATACAGTATTAGCTTTTGTAATCGTCCGTTAGTTTTATCGATTTTATCGATTTTTTTGCAAAGTTTGAGTTACGGGGCTCGGATTTAGCACAGGGGGTAATCGAGCATGCTGATTACTGAAACAGTAGGAATAGGGAATTGCATGTAGAAGTGGGCCAGGGAAACGTTGTACAGGGATAGGGTTGGGAGCTATATCACAGTGTTTTGACAGGGCCGGGCGGAGCCGGGTAAGCCAGCTAGTCAATGATAAAAAAACGGCTTCAAATGCAGACATTTCAAATTTGGATATAGTAGGTGGTCTCAACAATGTGGATTTGGAAAGGATTCATCCTTGCTGCTCTGTTCGCAGTGGTGTCGTCAAAAAGGCACCTGATCACTGATGAGGAACGACGAAAGCTCACCTGGATTTGTGAGTACGAAAAGGATGAACAGGGACGAAGGATATGCGTCCATGCTGATACAGAAGTTCGCTACTCAGTATCCATTATACTCTCATTTTCAGCCTAGCAAGTCCTTAGTTATTGCCATTATATAATAGTAATTTCAGTGCAGTTCCTGCAAAACAATGAAGGATGAACGCAAGAAGAAAGTTTGCTTAGGCGTCTGTGACAATCAGATAAAGTACATTGATGATGAAACTATGCATTAACTTAATCTTATATATAAAGCTAAATGTCTGTTTGTATGTATGTCTGTCTGTCTGTCTGTATGTCTGTCTGTGTGTGCGTATTTTCCGAATAGAAAATTCCATTTCTGAACCGATCGGGACCAAACTTGGCACACATACACTTCGGGCCCCGGCGGGTGTCATAGGCTACTTTTCGTATCGATCGATATCGATTTTATCGATTTTTTGCAAATTTTGAGCTACGGGGCTGGGAGTTGCACAGGGGGGTAAGTGAGCATGGGGATTCCGGATACAATATTAGTTTTTAAAATCGTGCATTACTTTTATCGATTTTATCGACTTTTTTGCAAAGTTTGAGCTACGGGGCTGGGATTTGGCACAGGGGGGTAATCGAGCATGCTGATCACCCCCGTGGGGGGGGGGGAGGTGATCAGATTTTTGCAAAAAATCGAAAAAGTCGACATCGATCGATAACGAAAAGTGGACTGTGACACCCGCCGGGGCTCGAAGGGTATGTGTGCCAAGTTTGGTCCGGATCGGTTAAGAAATGGAATTTTCTATTTGGAACATACGGCGGAGCCGGGTAAGCCAGCTAGTTAATCATAAAACTGCATTTCGAGAGTTGCTTGAGGTTTACCTGAATTCACTGAAGATGTGCTAGATCTATGATATACAAAAGCCGACGATTCTGTTACCTCAGAGAGATAAAGAGTAAGTCTCTACCACCAGCACTCAAAAAGGAGGACGGTCGTTTGGCAATACATAACTTCTAGGCGTCCTAAGCTACTTGTTTTGGGGCTGCATGCATTAATATCTCCGCTGCGGGGGGAGGGGGGAGGGGGGGGGGACCGCAGCTTACAAGGAAAGCTTCATATTTTAAAGCTTCAAACTTCTGAATTTTACGCTGTCTATCCATCCGTGAGTATTCCTACCATCCTTTGCTATGAACATATTGAACAGGAGTGAGAAGCTGTACTCGCATTTCCTAGCATTTTGCATGATACCCTGATGATCCCTGGCGGCCAACCGTCTTTTTTACAATATCATTTTTCTTTCTTCAAAGTTAGCGAAAGCATTCCGAAGTAACGTTCGTCTAGCCCAACAGTGCTAAGCATGTTGCTGATAAAAACAAATTATGTATTGGAGTCATGAAATTTGCATGAACCACAAATCGAATGTTGGGGTTTATCGAAAATTTCGATTTTTCAAAAATTTGTCTATTCTTATCAACAACGTGCTTAGCACTGTTGTGTTAGATGCTCAGTACTACCCTGGAAAGTGTTGGTTAACTTTGAAGAATGAAAAGTACTTCGAAGAAAAGGCGGTCGGCCACCGGTGATCGTCAGGGGATCGTACAAAATGCTGGAAGATGCAGCGTGTACAGCTTTTCGCTCCTGTTCAATGTGTTCATAGTGTAGGAAGGTAGGAATACTTACGGATAGGTACACAACGTGGAAACCAGGTATCTGGAGTTTCGAAATATAAAGCTTTCTTTTCAGCTGCGATCCCCTCCCCGCGGAGAGGTTAGTGCATGCGGCCCTTAGGGTCGCATGCATTAACATACCCGGGGAAGGGGAACGCAACCTAAAAGAGATCTTCATATTCTAAAGCTTTAAACATGATTTCACGCCGTCTATCCATCCGCAAATGTGCTACTACCCTTTACTATGAACACATTGAACAAGAGCGAGAAGTTGTACGAGCTGCAGATTCCAGCTTTTTGTATGATCCCCTAATGATGCTTGGTGTCCGGCTGTCCTTATCTTAAACTCATTTTCTTTTCGAAGTCAACGAAAACATTCCAGAGTTGACTGTTATTTACTTCAACAGTAAACATGTTGATAATATGAACAATTGATGTGTCGAAACAATTGATGTGTTATTGAAAATTTCAGTATTTGGATAATCAATTATTCTGCCAGAAAATATTTAGCACTGCTGGGCGAGATAATCAGTGCAACTCTGGAATGTTTTCACTGACTTCGTAAGTAGAAAAATGACTCAAAAAGCGATCGGCTGCAGGGGATCATCAGAGGATTGTACAAGAAGTTGGAAAAAGCAGCTTGTCCACGAGCCTAAGACAGTGCACAAGCGGCAGCGCAGATGGCGCACTTGCGGTTTAGATATCCGCCATTAAACCAAACTTTGCAAATGTAGTTTGCGAAAGACTCGGTTTCTGCGCGGAGTCCATCAAGAGGGCGATGGATCCCCACGCAAAACCGTGGAAGCAAGTCGTCCGCCAGTCAGGGTAGCGGGGACAGGAACTTGAGCACTATCTGAGAGCATCGGGTAAGTAATAAATCAATCTTTCCTTCCCTCCACTTGCTGATTAAATAGCCGTTGCAGAGACCAATATAGGCTTTACAAAGTTGTTCGCTTTTTCGTGGTCCTATATGGAATTGCTCTAACGCATGCAACCATTCGAAAACGAATATGCCGAACCCACTTGGTTGTATGTCGGAAACTAGAACTAGATAAACCTCTGACAATCATGTCGACTCAGTTGAAGTCTTCATAGTTGGATGAGTGGTTGGCTTAGCGCGAGCTTTGCTCAAACGTCAAATTTTAATTGTTTACAATCCTAATTCTGCGTGTGCGTTTGTTTCCGCGCAAGGTAACGCCAGCTGCACAAAACAGTCACATTAGGTTATTCAGAATTTGATGCAAAATTTTGCAAGTGTGTTTGAGCAACTTTTTCCCATTTATGAGCTTTCTGCCGCCAGCTTCGCATGCTGAATGCTCTTCATGCTTTTCCAAGTGCGCTTTGCTTCAGTCCTTAAACCGTTCAGATTTTCGCAGGGTTTATACAGAAAGCCTCAATTCAAAGAATTTTCGTTATTCTTCTTTTAAGGGAACTTATTTGGCAAGAGGGATATTTCCATGATAATATAAGTGAAACGAGAGGCTGAGTGGGTTTGCAAGTTACACAGTAGGGCTTTCTTCCTCCAACGGTGAAGCAAATAATGGTGTTCAAGCATGGTTAGTTGTCGTTCATTTTATGGCTTAAAAACCTGATATCCTATAGATTTTGCGTAGCTGCACTGTGTAGAACTAGACTATGAGTTAACTTTTAGTTTGGACGTTATCGAAAAAAAAATTTTGTTTTACAGCCTCGAAGTGTCTGTTGACCAGATATATCCATTGAGAAGCTAGAAAATTATTGGTAGTCAGCATGCTTACCTAATCCTATCTTACGGCTTTTTCAATTTCTACCGTTTGATGCTGGCCATGAAAAGCATGAAGCAAAATCAAGCAAAAAAGAAGCAACGAAAAACAGTAAATTGATGCAATCAATCCAGATTTTTCTATTAGAAATTAGATTGGTAGAAAAATCATCGAGTGTTTTTAACTCCTTTGCGGCTATTTTTCAATCAAACTTTTTTTTTTCGATTTCGCATGTGAGGTTTCTTCCGTCCTTTCTAACAATGGTCTGGAGAGCGTTCCATGATTGTCAGCCGAATTGTTGTACAACTTCAAAACACACTTGAGACTAAATTCTCATCGCATTGGATTTCTCGGATGGGATTCGAAAGCCTATTGTGTCCTTTTCTATTCTATGTATGAACTGAGGAATTGGCGCCCTAGATGCGCCCCAATACTCGTTGCGGGCAATGTATGGCGAGAATCTTTTGAGAAGTAACGCCAAAGCTTTGTTTACTTCTGTAAGCGTAGAATACTACATCTTCTTGACACTTTCGCAAATGCTTAACTGTTCAGTGTATTAGAAATTGAAATACATGACTCGACATATTATGCTTATCACAATACCATGATTTATAATAACGGGCTAAGATTTGTTTACGTTTGTGCGTCCGAACCGGATTCGTGAACGAGCTTTTGAGCTAGAATTGTGGTCATAGCACCCATCCAAGTAGCATGTATATCCACTATGCAAAAATACAATCCGATCCTATAAGAGGAACCTTCGGAAAGTGTGCGCCAAAAAGATCCTTGCAGCCTTCCCTACAAAATTGGGTCTGTATGAGATTTTATTGTAAAATTATGGATGTGCCTGGTATGTTTATCTTCAAAAGTTTACCATAAAAATCAATTTTTTCAGCACTTTTTTCGCAAAAACGATGCCAAAAAATGACTGCACAGATAGTTTGGTTTGTAGAAGTTTTGAATTAAAATTCCAAAGAATTTTCTGGAATTTCATTCATTTTGTCTTTCGCATCTACCTACTTGGGGGATATTTTCCACACTAGAAAATAATGTTTACAATTACAAGAAGAATATTCCGCATACTGATAGTTTCGAGTAGAGCCAAAAGCAGGTATAAAAGGGCTGTATGCGTCGCTGTATCCAATTAATTATCGAATTTTTGAATTATTAATTATGAATTAATTTTAATTAATTTTTATTAGGTTGTCCGGAAATTAATGCAGGTTTTGAATTCCAACCGCAATAAGTCATAAACTTCTCATTTCTAAGTAGGTTGCAATACATCATTCGATAGAGCAAAGCAAGCTCTACAAGATGGCAATCCTGATTTAGCAACAGCTCTAATCCACCACGAGTTTCGAGCCAAAAACTAAAAAGATTCAATTACCCGAAAAATTGAGAAAAATCGTAACTTAGTTCATAAAAATTCTACAAAAATCCTAACTTGCTCACGTAAACACTGTCCACATAAGACGTATATGTACGCCGTTGCCGTATTTTTTTCTCGAATAGAAACCAAGAAAACGAAGGTCTTCATGTTTCTGCCAAAGTGATCCTGTGCCGTTCCCACATAAGTAGTTGTATACTACAAACCTGTAGAAGTATAAACGTAAATTTCCAGCTTTCTACAAGATTTAGTTCTCGAAAAATTTGAATTTTAGCTTAAACCACATGACTAGGAAAACTGTATTCAATATTTCTCGAGAATTAAAGCATGTAGAGAGCTGGAAATTTGCGTCTGTACTTCTACAGGTTTGTTGTATACAACTACTTGTGTGGGAACGGCACAGGATCACTTTGGTAGAAACATGAAAATCTTCGTTTTCTTGGTTTCTAACCAAGAAAAAATACGGCAACTGCGTACATATACGTCTTATGTAGATAGTGTTTACGCGAGCAAGTTAGAATTTTTGTAGGATTTTTATAAACTGAGTTACAATTTTTTTCTATTTTTCGGGCTGCTGAGTCTCTTTAGTTTTAAGTTTTAGTTACAACTTCAAAACACACTTGAGACTAAATTCTCATCGCATTGGATTTCTCGGATGGGATTCGAAAGCCTATTGTGTCCTTTTCTATTCTATGTATGAACTGAGGAATTGGCGCCCTAGATGCGCCCCAATACTCGTTGCGGGCAATGTATGGCGAGAATCTTTTGAGAAGTAACGCCAAAGCTTTGTTTACTTCTGTAAGCGTAGAATACTACATCTTCTTGACACTTTCGCAAATGCTTAACTGTTCAGTGTATTAGAAACTGAAATACATGATTCGACATATTATGCTTATCACAATATCATGATTTATAATAACGGGCTAAGATTTGTTTACGTTTGTGCGTCCGAACCGGATTTGTGAACGAGCTTTTGAGCTAGAATTGTGGTCATAGCACCCATCCAAGTAGCATGTATATCCACTATGCAAAAATACAATCCGATCCTATAAGAGGAACCTTCGGAAAGTGTGCGCCAAAAGGATCCTTGCAGCCTTCCCTACAAAACTGGGTCTGTATGAGATTTTTTGCAAAATTATGGACTTGCCTGGAATGTTTATCTTCAAAAGTTCACCACAAAACCAATTTTTCAACAGTTTTTTTCGCAAAAACGATGCCAAAAAATGATTACGCAGGTAGTTTGATTTGTAGAGATTTTAAATCAGAAGAATTTTTTGGAATTTCATTCATTTCGTTTCATTCGCATCTACCTGTTTGGGGATACTTTCCACACTAGAAAGTAATGGTTGCACTTACAAGAAGAATATTCCGCATACTGATAGCTTCGAGTAGAGCTAAAGGTAGGTATAAAAGGGATGTATGCGTCGCTGTATTCGATTAATTATTCTTTATATGCAGTAGCAACAGTTGCAGCAGTGCGATCCATCAAAGTTTCAATCCCTTGAAATGAGTAAAGTCTTCGTAAAGCCAGAATTATCGACATCATAAATCACAGCAGTATGTATCTGCCATGCAGCATGTGTGTGATGTATATGATTTGGTGGAGCGCCGGAAAATTGTCAATGGATTTTTCGAACTCAAAAAATTGTAGAGCGAAATATTTGTATGAGTAGGCAAGCGCAAATGATACCGATGTTTCAATGGAGTCAAGATGCTGTAAAAATTTTTTTATTCATTTAGAATGAGAGCATGGTTTGCTGCGATTGAGTGCAACTTGAGCTGACATTTAACCTAATTTGAGTCGTAACATTAGTCAATCGCCTCTCAGGCGAATTTGTGCAAAGTTTTTCAATGTTCAACTTTTTGGGGATAAACATAAAGAGCTATTCCCTATGCGAGAATTCTATGGTTTTTCACATACATAAAGGCATGGCCTTTATCAATGCCATTGCATGAAACGTCTCAACGATAAGATACGGTACAAAAGTGGCATTATTTCGTGATCACAATCACGAAATAATGCCCTTTTGTCATGCATAGGCATTCAATTTGCATTTATTGCATTGAAAACCCCTTTAGAAGGCAGAGCCGCACAAGCCAGTCATTGTTGGTTCATCCGTTTCGCTTGCGCAATCTTCACTTCTTGACTTTGACGAAAATCAGAGCCTTAAGCTTCATATTTATGATTAAGTTGCAGTGACGATTATGACAAAGCCGGCGGTGCTATATAGTAGTTAGCCTTTTATCTTCCATGAATAATCCGTCTAGACGTTAGTAGTAGCTAAATGATTAAAAAAGTGCTAATGAACAAGATTGGTGACAGTGTGGTATTGCTCACACACCACAAACTTTTATATTTTTGAGAGATTATTACACTTTTTTGTTTTGCTTAGAACGAATAAAAGCATTGACGGCTCTTTCTATGCCTAGCGATTTTTGCTACCTAGAGATATTCAGTATCAGTAGATTGAAAAACACATTTCGCAACTGCAATCTTCTGATGATTTGTTGGCCCTAACAAAATACTAGAGCATTGCCAGCTAATGCTTGAAACCAGAAACAGACCTAGTATTTATAAAACGCTGTGATCTTTCGGGTATAAAAATTTTTTTCTTCAAAATGGATGTACGAATTAGGCATGGCTCTGCTAAATTGATGTTTTTCCACAAATTTCTTAGTTTTGCAGTCTAGCACATAAAGCGATGCAATTTCTGAAGTTTCAGGCTGTTTACGGAGCCTTTGTCCCCCTGAAGCTATCCCAACCTATACTATAGAAAAGTCTTTCACTTTAGAGTTTTATAGGCATCTAGGCTCAAAAAAGTCATTGAATTTTACTTATGCAAGAACTTTCTTGCCAATCTAATATTGAACTGAAAATCAAGAACTGAAACTTCTAAGACAGTTTTTTGATCACTGTGTGCTGCAAAACTTTTTTTTCTGAGTTACGTAGGCTGCGTTCTAATCTGAAGATGCTGTCGTTGTTCTTCTAAATATTGCATGTGAGAGTCACGACACGTACACCGTAAGGAGTAATTACTGGTTGCTGTTTCCCTGAAACTTGGCCTAGGAAGGTTTCGATACGCTTTCCAAGTCTGGGAAAGTTTCGATAGCCTTTGGTTAATAAATGTTTGGTGCAATAGTGTGGTTACTGCGACTTGTCCATTACAAAAGCGGCAGATCTCATTTCCATTCAACTTACGTGTTAATAATTTCGAGTACATGTATTTGACGGCTTCAACCTTAAAGTATGGTAAAACGTATTTATGTAATCAAGCAAACGACCAAGATGGCAACTTCCCTTTGCTTCTGGTGAAGCCGCATGCAATAGTCTTCGAAAAATGCTTTGTTTCAGTTTTCCGAAAAACAAACAATTGCATACTTTTGGCTTACAACACAGTGCTGCCAGAAACTGAATGTGCCGTACGCAAATTCAAAAAGTTGAGAAGATACTTGCAGAACTTGGTTAAAATTTCATTTGACAGCTTATAATTAGCCGTAATTGGCACATACAGTGACCGTCAAAAGGTTGCGTACAAGTCGCCCTCCTTTTTGCATCGCTGTTTTTCAGATAGAAAACAAAGATTAAAAAATGAATGGATTACATATGGTGATAGAGCTCATCAAGTGCTACAACGTATACCTTGCGCTTTTTAGAAAACATGCATTACAAAAATTTTAAAAATCTTTCTCTAAAAAAGGTCCGAAAATAGCCGCGTCACAATGTCGCGGACAATAATTCTTCGAACGCGAGAATTTTCTTTGAGTCCTTTTTTGGAGCTAAAATAGAAGTTTTGCGGGCAGGTAAACATACTTTATTATGGAGCTCATCGAGGACAATAATCAGTCACTAGTGGTAGTGGTCACTTAAGAAAAAACCCAAACTCAAATTTTATTTCACTCATTTCAAGAATAATTTCTAAATACCTTTTTAAGCCAAATTTTCTCACATGGAAACCTATTCAAGACTTTCCAACAAAGCTGTCCGTATAAAATGGATCCTTTTGCCGTACTCTATGCATCGAACATGTGCTGGTTAGATTCTTTGCTGGAAATGGTTCCTGATGCGTGCACACGACCCCACCTGCACTGACTAGCACCGCTTTGCAGGCTTGTAGCTCGACCGGCAGTCATTCTACGAGCTTGCAAGTAGACTCATTCGAATTACTCGAAACGATGGTATGCAAATGATTTGGGTTTGAGAAATCTTGAAGATTTTACGGGTTGGGGGATAAAGCGCAACCTTGGAGGTTACTGAAGTGAAGCCAATTATCAACACCAAAGCAGTCCTAGAACTTCGCACTGGATCTATCAAAGGAAAATTGACAGTTTTGAACTTTCAGGATGGAACTGGTAGCGAAAGGAGCTTTGTTCAATTTAGCTGAAAAATCCTTACCCTACCACTGAAGCTGCGCTTTTTCACCTCATCCGTAAAATCTCTGGGATTGCTCAAACTAAACTTATTTGCATACCATCGTGTGTCTTCAGCTTCGTTAGCATGTTTTGCACAGGTTTCCATGTTGAGAAATTTAGCTTGAAAATGGTGATTAGAAGTTTTTTTTTTGAAAAAAAAAGCGGGATAAAATTCAAGCTTTAGTTCTTTTTTGTATCCACTACCTGATAATTTTCCTCGATGAGCTCTATAATATAGTGTGCTTACCTGTCCACAAAACTTCTATTTTTGCTTCAAAAAAGGACTTAAAAGAAAATTCTGGCGTTCGAAGAATTATTGTCCGCGACATTTTGACCTGCCCTGAGACAGTCTTTTTTTGGAAAAAGGTCTTTGACTTTCTTAGAATCCATGTTTTCTGGAAAGCGTAATGTGTGAGGTGTAGCTTTGAAAAACTCAATCATCTCGTGCTATCCTTTCAATTTTCATCATTGTTTTCCATCTAAAAATGAGCTTTGGAAAAGGAGAGCGACTTGTCCGCAACTTTTGGCGGAAGCACTTTACATAAAGTGCTTTGCTGAGGAGATCAAAGTAATCTGTTTATTCTAATTTTCTCATCCTCCAAAAGCTAAATCTTGCTTATACGCTTTTCTTAAAGGTAACAGTCGATGATAAAAAAAAGGCTTCGGCTCTAACAGTGTTCGAAAACATGCCTTACAGATAATTTCAGCAATGTGGATTTGGAAAGGATTCATCCTTGCTGCTCTGTTGGCAGTAGTGTCGACAAAAAAATACTACCGACGTCTTCCGAACCGCCACCCAATATACCTCATATCACCTACATGCATTACAGATAAAGATGGAAAAGAATTTTGTATGGACGAAGCAAAAGTTCGTTCATAGCATACTTTTGCTTTTTACGCTTAGCTTAACAAACCCTTCATCAATGCTATTAATGCGAAATTTCAGTGCAGTTCCTGCGAAACTCTAAAGGATGAACGCAAGAAGAGATTTTGCTCAATCTTCTGTGAGCTAAGCAGCAAAATAAAGGAAGAAGAATCAAGGAGTGTGAAATAGTGGCTGTCCTTTCGACTCGATTCACTTATAAAACATGCGTTTTCGAAGTTTAAATGAGGAATGAGAATTCCGCTGTTGTTCTGCCCGGTCCGCGGAAAGGAAAAGTCGAATTTGCTTATATCATGCTAAACTAAGATTGGCAGAGGGTAGGACTTTCTCAACTACTGCTAGCATTTCGAAGCGTTAACAGTTTTGCACGACATAGTATCCAGCACGACTTGCGTGATTTTCCTTAACATCGCGCAAGTGACAAATTAGATCCCCAACCCCTCACTGCTGAGCAGAAAGCATCCAAACTCGCTGTCCTATATGAAAGCGTCAACTTTACTGCGGTTGTGAATCAGATATCAAAAGTTTTCCCTCCTGCACATTTTGCACGCAACTATCTCGCAGCATTTTGAAGGAAAAAATCCTAGCGGCGAATATCGGATGGAAGTACTCAAATATTCTTCTTGAATTCTTTGTAGATGTCGTCTGCCTTCCGCAACATATACCTTGTCAGCACAAAATGCGCAGCACCGAACTTCTTGATTCCTAGAAGTATTTATTTCACTGAATTCGAAAACGGCGATGTAAATTGCTGCTATCCGTTAGAGAGGTTTGGCGCACTGAAAGCATAAAAGATGTAAACTCATGACCAATGACTCCCATGCTGACCCCACTTGGCAACTATAGGAAGCAGTCAAGGCCAGAAATGTGCATGAAAGAGGAGGAACCTCTGAAAAGTACCCTGCTTCAGCAAAGATCTAGAAGAATGAGTCTCTGGCTAGATAATTTAAAGTAGGAAACGGTCATTAACCCAGCCAAAACAAGCTGTATATCGTCGAACTCGTTCTGAGACGCTGATTTCAGCACATGTTTAATATCTGCCATACGACTATCTGGACGGAGTCAAGAGCGCATAAATATGAGAGATTATCCGAGTTCCAACTTATTATGTTGTCCCAAACGTAAACTCCATTTCCAAATAATTTGAGCTGTCATTGTTTTCCCGATAGACTTATGGTACCATTCGATAGAGCAGAGCAATCTCTACAAAAAGACCACTGAGAACCTACCTAAGTCATAATCCAGGCAAAATTTAGGGCCAAAAATCCAAATTTTTCAGCTTTCCTAAAAATCGAATCTTCTTCCAGAAAATTCCTACCGACTTCCAACTTGGTCTTTATATAGTGGACACATAGTAGTGCCCAAAAATGTATTTGGCGGATTTTTTTGTGGACTCAAAATTGAGAAAAAAGACGGCCCGAAAATGTTAAAACGCCCTTTTTTCTGGTTTTTTTAATGTAAAACTTGGTATTTCTCGATTATAAGAGCACCTACAGCTATAAGGTTTTGTAATCATACTTAGTGAGGCTTGTAGCATACAATGACATATGTAGGAGGGGCTGGGGGCGGAACTTGCCATTTTAGGACAATTTTTGTTTCTCGCTTTCTATACTCGAAAAAAATTCGGCGAAAGTATATTTGAGTACTACTATGTGCCTGCTGTATAATGACCAAGAGGAGATCCGTAGGGCTTTTTCTCGCAAAAATCCAATTTTCAGGTGACAAAATTTTTCTCGATTTTGGCTTCAAACTTTACATGAAATGCGACTTAGGCGGACCCTTGGTGGACTTTTTATAGAGCTTGATCTGCTCTATCGAATGATACAATCTACCAGTAAAGCAAAAACAGCGTGAATTATTCAAAAAAGGAGTTTACTTTTGGGACAACCTAATATACAGAATGTCTCAAAAGTAAGTACACACTTTTCAATCGTTAATATCATTGCATCTTTTCCCGCCTTTCAAGCACCATTCTGTAGAAGAGGATTCAACTTAGATTTATTGTATCGAGTGAATCACCGATCGCTCTTCATTACTGTAGGATTATTGTAGGAACTTCCACAAGGGTTTTAGGCCATTGGAAGCCATATTCTGTTTTGGAACAAACCAAACAAGCCAAAAACCCTTGTGCTATGGTTGTGAAAGCCGCTGTTTTCGAATATGAAATTTCCACTTTACTGTGATGCTTCTTTCCAAAGTTATTCCAGGTAAACCGTAATAACCGAATTCCCAGTTTTTGTCAGAAATGTGATAACACCGTCAAAAAAGCTGAAAACACTCGTAAAACGTTATGTGGTGGAATCAGCGTGCGCGAAAACCCTAATACACAATTTTTCAGATTTTTTGAAAATTTTTTGTCACATGGCATAGTTCTCAATGATTCCACATGCTGGAAGTTCTTACCGTAATCTCACAGTAACGAAGGGTGATCGGTGATTCGATCGATACTGTAAATCAAAGTTGAAGCCTCCTCTACAGAATGGTTCTTAACTGACAAAAAAAGGCCAATTGAAAAGAGAGATATTGGCGATTGAAAAGTGTGTACTTACTTTTGGGACGCCCTGTATATGGTGCTGTTCATAATTATAAGTACACCCATCATTTAAGGGTTTCGAGACATTTTAGAAAAGCTTAGAAACCTTTGGTACTCTGTTACAGAGCATAGCCGAAACGGTACAAAATGAAAGTTGAGTTAATTTTGGAAATGTTTTCGCGCCGATTGCGACTTTCTAGCGGCTCATCATTATACGAACACTTCAAACGAAGCTCTTTTCTACTCAAAACTGCAACCTTTCGACTCAAATTTTTTTGTAAACTTACAGTAACAAAGTTTGAAACATCCGATATATACTGTACCCAGCGCGCTTAGAATGCTGGAGTCAGTGCGCTCCAAAAATGCCTGTTTTTCTGCGGTTGAAGCATCCATTTAGCGTCTTTCAAAGCTATGAGATAAATTAAGCTTTTTCGATGAATATTTTGTTTGACGCTTGGCAAATTCCCGTGTTCTCGTCGCGCTTTTCAACTAAATTCCGACCTTACCCTTATGTAAGCAAGATTTCGAACCTCAAGATTTAATTTATATAAATTTACTGCTAAGCTAAGCACACATTATGTACAAGTTTGTAAGATCTTTTATATGACCGCAAAAGTTCTACACTGAGCGTTTGTTTTGGCCGCGCAGACGTCATCTTCCACAAATGACTGTTTACTATTGCACTTATCCATCTACTGACTTTTCAGCTCCAAATCCTCAAGACTAGATCTGCAAGAAATCCAGACACTTCAGCTAGGACACATCAGCATACAAGCAATGTGATTGTTTCATCGCGACTCTTTGCGCAAAACAGAAGCTGATCTCTGAGGCTTGAGAAAGTTGAAACGTGGTTGGAAATCGCGACGTAAACACGCAGATTTTTCAAGCGTGATATCTAAAAAAGCTCATTCCACCTCATAGCATCGTGAGAAACTAATTAGAGTGCTTTAACGCAAAAAAAAACAGAAGTAATAGGAGCGCACTGACTCCAAACGCATTTTGAGCCTTGTGAGAAAATTAACGCTCCCCTTTTCAAACTGCGCTGGGTACTGTGTATAGCGGATATTTCAATTTTATTAGCGTAACTTTACAAAATGTTTGGTTCGAAAGATTGCAGTTTTAAATGAAGAAAGGATTCGTTTGAAGTGTTCGCTAATCATGAACCGCACCATAATTCGAAAAGCAGCCTGATGGCGCGGATTTACAGTGGTGAAGAAGCACATTCACCATAATCATTCGAAATCAGCGTATCAAAACGGGTACAATCATACATAGTTTGCTTTTTTATGGATTCATACTCATCTGGAAGTTCGGAAACAATTTCAGCACAACGCTCAGTTTGACCATATCCTGCTAAGTTTTAGTTGTCTACAATCGCACCTCTGCATTTGCATATGCTTCCAACTAAGGTAAAGGCCAATCGTATTATAGAATACTTGTGAAACCATCAGTCTTTATTTCTATTTCAGCTGACATACGTCCGGCTTCGACGGCCTTGTCGGTGTACTATGATAGAGACCGCCATCACTTATTTCTGAACAATATTTCCATCCTGGGATATCTCCCGCCTCATAGCTTGGAATTAGCAAAGAAATTGATAGTCGATATCCGTTAAGAAAAGTAGCCTACCACACCAGCCTATTGAAGAGTACGTGTGCAAAGTTTGGTCCGGATCGGTTCAGAAATAAGATTTTCCATTCAGAACTGCGAGCAGACTCATAGAACAGCTGAAAGTCTGCTTTATTTATGAAATTTGAATAGAATATTGAAGATTTAAGAAGACAGGCCACAGAAATGAGCTTTTAATGTGGATGATCTGACCATGCAGCTTTCGTTTTTAAAATCATAAAAATCTCTGGATGCCGTGTAACGCTACTGACTACATGGGTTGAGTGACCCGCTGAACACACGTTTCCATGAAAAATTGTGCTGAGTGGACACTGTCGAAAAGCAAATCTTGTTTGAAAGCTTCCGTTAAGCCCTTGTTGGATTGATAGAGGAGATACATCAAGGAACTCGATAATCACTGGAAATGTTGCTTACTCGAGCCACCATTTTTCCAAAAAGAAAAGATATCATGTAATCAGTAATTTTAGAGAAAGATATTATCAGCCAAAGTGACTAATAACTACTTTACCTAAGGTACACATGTGCAAAATTTTGCCCCATCTCATTTTTATTATTATTTATTGTTAGCCCTCAAAAACATGGCAGAAAAAAATTCAAGACAAAATCTGGTAAAGCCATCTTTTCCCGAAAAATTATTGGATTGCCGCAATGTTGATGCGTAAATTTTTTCCTCACCATTTTTTACCATCAGACCTCCTTTTCGGGAAATGTACATATTATCACATTTCGAAATTCCTTTATTTTTTCTAAATGGCCTAACAACCTTTCTAGACTTGTCAGTTGGTCATTAAAGCAAACACCCGGACCGAAACCGAAATTTGATGGCATTGTTTTTTGACAAGAATAAACTCAAATACATCTATTTTTTGGTACACATAGCTCTTGTATGTAATGGAAACAGTTTACTTTTGTGTTTTGGTCAAATTCCTCAAAACCGTTCCAATTTAGAGGTCGACGCCCAAAATGGATAGCTTTTGCGGGTGACTCAAAACTCTCAAAAGAGGTGTTGCCAGATTTTAGTCATCAAAGCGTAAGACCAGGACATTTTTCAAATAATTTTTGCAACCTTAGCTCTTTTTTACATGCAAAGCTGAAACATTCCATTGTAGGACTTCAATGCTTCCAACAATCGAGCTCAAAACAGCTGGTCAATTCTGTTTTTTTTTGTCGCAGATCTTCCTCCTGTTTTCTGTCGAAATGCTTGGTCGTGTCTAGTTGAGCTCATTGTCGCGCATAAAAACAAACAGTTATTATGTCAAAGACGGGGTTTTGAAGAAGGAAGTATCTGTTTTCCAATCTATAGTTACTTGCAAATGATGTCAGAACATAAGTCGGTGTTACGTTGCAAAAGCTTGGTGCGCTTGACGGTGTTATAGCGCTTTAAATTACAAGATTACAGCATAAAAGTGAAATTTCGTACCATTTTGCACAAGTTTGATATTGAGGGTCAGCTGCCTGGCACAGAAACTCATGAGTCCAAATTACATAATCGTGGAAAAAGTTTCATGTACTCAAGATCACACCAAGAATATAATTATTGAAAACTTAACGAACCGGACCGAATAATCTTGCTCCTCCGAAAAGCACCTACGAATTTTGCAGTTATTGAAAAAATAGGGAAACTAAACAGGTGAAAGTGGCACTTATTTCTGCACATCTCTCTTTATCACCCAAGATTCTTTTACCAAAATTTGACAAGAGAAAGAGGAAGCAATGCTGCAACAGCTGACTCCGAGATCTTTTTTAATTGATCCTACACGAGTTGTTTGACGTCTACAATTTTTAAAGTGGTAACTCTGAAAACAGCGTTTACTCAAACTTACTCTTTAGTTTTCCTTCATTCTTCAGACGAGACCTGATTATGACCCGACCAGAGTCGCATTATGAAGAGCAAGAAGACCAAAAAAGCGGTACTTGTCAGCGTGGCGCAAACCGGCCTAAATCGCCCTTCGCGGGCCACTTTGAGAGCAATGAAGTTTTCTCGTATCAGTCGAGGTTGCGCGGGGGACTGATTGGAAGGTTCTTTATCAATCTGTCCAGACCCATACTATCTCATTAGAGAGATACTGCCTTCACAGACCCGTTCCTCAACATTTGTAAGCCCCATCGAATTCCTCTAATTCTGGCTGTAACATAAACTTTTACATCATCGCTCTTACCATAGCCATAGTTAACATATGAGTGCTGCTTATAAAATTAAGCAATCTAAGACTAACAGGCGTTTGAATATGATGAATATGTTGGCATATACAGCAACAAAGCTCGTTTTCCCAGAACCAAGCAAAATTTATTCATGTCGACGAGCTGCTTATAAAATTAACCAATCCTAAGATGAATAGGCATTTGAATATGACGAAGATGTTGCATATACAGCAACAAAGCTCGTTTTCCAAGAACCAAGCAAAATTTATTCATGTCGACGAGAACGACAGAATTTTTACATCAACACAAACACTATACAAATCCGTTTCTTATCTTAAAAACACTCGCACATGGGACTATATATTTATCATCACAGAGAGGACAATTTCCTGTTTTTGAAGTTCAGCTGCAGATCTTATTTCTCCTCAAGCGTATTCCCATACTGAACAGGCAAGCACTCCTACAAAGTGCAGACAACTTGTCCACTTTCTGTTGAGATTTGGAGCAAAGTCTCTTTATTGCTAAATGCTACTGAGGAAATTGCAGCAAAAAACCTTGGATATTGTTTTGTTTTTATTTTTTTCTCGATGGGATTAGCGTTTTGAACTAGATGATTTTGCTCCTCGACTGACTGTTTTGATAGCAACATGAAGCGATGAAATTATCGTCAACGATTTGTCATCTTTGTGAGCGGTCAGAAAGATAATTGTACTCACAAGGGAAGGATACTAACTTAGATTCGCCTTTTGAAATGAAACACATATATTTGGAATCAGCTTTGAACGCCGATTCCAAATATGCCATTCTTAGCTGCTTAGCGTTATTGTAAAGCGAGTTACGGTCTCTTTTCTATGCAAAGGTTGGGTGCTCCTCGCCCTACTGATGCTACGGTGTCAACGTATAGGTGGTTTTGCAATTGTATACCGCGCGCTTTCAATATCAAAGGAATTAATCTGATGCTGGTCCAATATCCTAGCGCTTCTTTCGAGCAGATTCTTATCTACACACCATCTTATGACATTCAGAAGTTTGTTTACTCACAACAGCAAGCCTATAACTCGCTTCGGAATAGCTAAGCAGCTAGGAACAGCATATTTGGAATCAGCGTTTAAAGCTGATTCCGATTATAAGTGTCCCATCTCCAAAAGCGAATGTTAGTATTCTTCCCTTGTCAGTTGCAAGCATAAGCACTGGATATTTACACAAGCTTCAAAAAATAAATCAGCTTGCACTCAATTTCAAATGTAAAACTCTAGTCTAGCTTCTCTCTTGTCGTAAAGCTCTGTGCAGTTTTTATTTCTTGTCCAAAAACTGGTGGTAGTTTCTTCTAGTTTGAACCATCATTTGCCCCAAAATGCGGCAGAGTAGCCTAGCTCCATTTGCAACCGTGATTAGTCGTACAGTACAAGCTACTAGCTAGCTAGTAGCTTGGTACAGTAGTACCAAGCTGAGACTGATCTCGTTATTGTGTGACAAATAGAATAGCCACAAACTTGTTTTTTTTTTTCAAATTTCTTCAGCTCTCGGAAACGCAAGCCGTAACGCAGTTCTACATGCATTAAGGCTGGAAAGAGCCGAGAACCCTTTGATGAGACCTAATCTACTTTGGCGTTAGCAAAAATAAGCCGTGTCACTTACCATGTATGACAATTCTGGAAATGAAGGCAATTTTTAACTGATGACAAAACTCGACATTGTGTATATCACTAAATAGGATGATGTCGTTTTCACAAGCACTAGTTGGAATCTGTAAGAATTAGTACTTCAAAGGCTAACTGGGCTGTCTTTGGGAAGGGATGGTGCTGCGAATGTCAAACATGGGTTGTGACGATAAGGTCTGGAAGCTTCGAAGAAAACGGATTAAAGTTCACCGGTTCACCGGTTTTTTTTCCACATCCAAGCAAAAGAATCAACGCCAACGGAATTCCAAAATTGGTATTACAACACCATGCGAGCATCATGCCTGAAGGTTCATTGCAAAAGTAGTCAAGCAATATCACAGGAAGGAGACTTTTGTTAGTGAAATAAAAAAGATAAAAGCATGCTCTTTGAGGCACCCAAGGAATTAGCGAACATGTAAAATTTTGAATATGTATTCGGAAAGGCAGTGCCAAATTTCTCTCTGCTCAACATATCATCAGATCTGAGCAGTTGCACTTGGGCCACGCTCAAAGAAAATGGCACGGTATTCTACTCAATACAGAATGCTGAACGAAATTATAGGTCCAATCTAAAAAATGCCATAACTCACTCTGTTGCCAATAAAATATTCCAAAGTTGGTTCGGCTGTGTCTTTGCCAGCCCTGTAAGATATCAAAATGGATCTCGTTTTTGCATAGTTATTCAAAAAAATCGAAAATTTTGAAAAAAGCAGTGAATGGCAATCAGAAATAGGTCCATCTGGAGTTTTTACTCCTTGAAGCACTTTCTAGCTTCCGAAATTTTCTTAGGTAGGTACACATTTAAAAGCAGTGTCTCATCGTCTAGGGTAGTACGGGTCTCCACATATTCCATCAGAGAGGAGGAGACTGCCCCAAGTCCGACTTGATGCGGGTCCTTCTACGCTGAGAATTGCCCTCAAAGTAAAACACAAAGCGCGATTTGGGCAA